AATGTATAAAATAAATCCTTCGAAGCTGGCTGGCTCGAAGAACTTGATAAAAAAAATTTAGAGCACCTCCACAGATCGTCACTTGTAAGTTTTATAGATGTTCCGGTAAAGGCGATGATTTGAAACAAACCAATATCCGTTCGAAAATTCAACTCTCTACGGTAAAGCCTGAGCTCTATTCAAGTTTTAATTCAACTGACGTTCCAGTGCCGTGGCGCTCAGCTTTATACATCAAGTGTCTAAATTGTGCGAGAAGAGGTGGGCCTCACATTGACAGGTTAACGATAGGTGGTAAATGTTTGTGACACAACAGGCCAATCAGCGCGCGGGCACTTGAAAAACAATCAATCCCTGGAGTGTTCCTTTCACGCCTACGCAGACACACCTAGATGACGTAAGCAAGGGGTCGTAACCTCTTGTCTCATTCTCTTCTTACGATTATCAAATGGACAATATCGAGATTGTCACTGCCATCCAATCACGTCCGCATTTCTCGATAAAGCCTCAGCCTGTGTAAGAAAAGATAAACACCGGCATCATATGATCGCAACCCAAATTTGTAAAGGTAAACTCTCTATCGCCACAAAGCAAACTCTTCGCATAAAAACAGCGTTCAACGCACCAAGAGTGCGATTTACACGAATATTCTATCCTCGTAATTTTCTCCAGAAGTTTTCTACTATGAAAGATGAGCTAAAGACAAATTAAATTTGCTATTTGATCTAAAACTTGATGATCAAGAAAGCTCTCAAGGGATTGTAACAGAATATGAAGAACAAATAAGCCTTTGAAAGGGTCAAATGTGTAATCTGACAATCGGGTTATTATCTAAGCGTGCGATGGCAAAAATATAATTATTTTCTTACGTTGTAGACTGGGTATTCCGAAACAAATGAGACTAGGAAATGTAATTGGGATTTTAGAGCGTCACTTGAGACAATAATCAGGCACATGATGAGGCACGAGAGTACGTGGTAGAATGTGCTTTGCCGTACTCTTTAATCTTACACGTCACGGAGGCTTGTTATTTGTCATTTCAAAATACCTTTCATTTGCTAATCAAGCTTTTGTGTTTATGCTCCCATGGGACAGGGTGTGTCGCTTTAACAATTTACCGCCAAATTACTCTCAATGAATGAAATCTATTGCGCTTGGCTGATTTCGTGATTAATGCCGCCGCGAAATTCATGATTCGATTTTTTGGCGCGCAACCTAACTAAACATGCTCACCTCAAGCTACGGAGTTAGATAATTCTACTTGATAAGTGAGTGACATGTAAGTCTTTCTTACACACATTTCTTATCCGCTCTTTATTCACACACCTCTTTTTAAATTTGAGCAATAGTGTACGTGTTATGATGAATTTTTTTTTTTTTTACTTTCTGGGTTTATGTTGAAAAACCTCTTGCGACCAAAACGGAAAGGCAATTTATTTTGAGAACATGGAACCCAAATACTAATGCTGGAAGAATCAAACACAAAGAGAGGTCGTGTTATTTTGAAAGAAAAAAAATAACCAAATTAAAGATTGTGTTGTTTTGCCAAGAATGCAAACGACGTTATTGATAATGTTAACTCGTCTGTGACATGTCCACTGACCGTGATTCCGGGCACACAGTCTATATGAATTTCAAAGTTGTTATTGGAAGGGTTTCGAGGAAATGGTAAATAGCACTCTTCTTGGGTCTTTTAAATTAATTTCCCGTTTCGGTTTGTTTATCCTAAAGCTCAGAAATAGGACATTACGAGCAGAAAGCTACGGATAAAACGCCCTCTTGAGTTGTAACAGTATTGCCGAACGTGCAGTTGCGCAGCCACGAATATTCGCGAAAGGTCAGGAGAGTTCTATAGAAATATAACTCGGCTATTACGTGAAAATGACAGAGCTCTATAGAGATCACGTACGCTTGCAAACGTCGAACGCTACTCTGCTGACTCATTGATTCTTCTTGATGTTTCTAGAGTTTTCGAATATCACGAACGATCCTATCAGTTGAAGGAAATAAATAAAACATTCGAGCAAGCGGTAAGATGGCGGAGTAGAGTAAGGAAATGATTAAGTCGACTTTTTTCCTTTGACTTTTGCTATGTCTTAACAGGGCTATTAATCACGAACAATGGTGGAATTAGAAACCAATGCGTATAATTCAAGATCACTAATATTTCCGTTGGAAAATTGCGAATGATCAACTCAGAAGTAATTTTGTTCTATTGTTCACCACAGAGCGTTGGTGTTGCGTACATTTGGGTCGTAATACAGCCTTCCTTTTCGGAATTTATTTTTGTTTTACCTTGACGTGAAGTCGTTTTTCATTCTTTTACTGATGAGGTGGAGAAAGTTTCGGCCGCCAAACCACACTGGCAATGTTGTGCAAAACTTTGCATATATACGCTATAACTGAGGGCATGTTTTTTTGACCTCGTGCAGTGCAATCGCCAGCTGAACAGAGAACGGGCAAATTTCCGCCGTTACATTAAATTTTGATCAAGTCGCACTACAGGATAAATAAATTTAAGTTATTAACGTCGCTGGTCGATTTGAATCATGACGTAAAATTAAAGGAACACAAATCTTTCTTAACCAAATTTCTTGGAATAAAGGAATTCAAAACACATAACAAACCGCGTTGAAAATTTAGATTACTTCTTTGTTGTTTTCTCTCTCCACATCTGTGGCTTTTCGACGTCATATCAGTCAAAACACTTATCGGTTTACAGAAAACCACGTGCGGAAATTATAACGGAATAACGAAGAAATACTAATTCAATTGCAATTCTATCTGTTCCACTGCTACGAGAGGGCTCCCACTAAATTTTTCAGTTCGATGAGTTTCAATCGCGTATCTCCGTCTAAACGACAATGATATACGTAAAGCAAAATAATAAAAAAAGAGCATACATTTTAGATATCAGCACTGGTGGTTCTGTAACCCCGTTTCAATGAAATTGGCTGAATTTCAAACTTTGATAAACAGAACATCAAGTTTCCAGTAAACAAGCGCCAATGGCAATACGTTATCACACAGTCAGTGAGTCAGTCATTCATATTGTTTGTAAAGAAATACTCAAGGTCAAATTGATACGGAGTTATTTTCAAAATTATTAGCGTTATTTGTTCTCACTCGGGTATGAAAACACATATAGTATGGTTGAGCAGAACTAGCCGGAGGCAAAAAAGGATTCTTATAATTGCTAGGAATTGAGTGTCCGAGTAAAACAGTTTTCGGTCTTCATTTACTCCTGTTTTGTTTTTTTTTTTCTGTTCATTTCTTTAGTTTTTTCTTCCAAGCTGTTTCCCTTTTATTTCAGTTCACTGCCAGTTAAATACAGTATGAATAAAAAAGCCTCTTCAAATGGAATGTAGAGATAGCCTTTGCACTTGGAATTTAAAAACTTACGTACAAAAGTTTAAAAAATGTGAATGAAAAAAAGTAAAGGATGCTTGCCTTTCTCATTTCGGAGGATTTGTGGAAGCCCAATACAGATAGAAAAAGAAATATTTTCTTCCTAAAGCGTGACAAGTTCTATTTCCAGGCGGAAGAGAGCCGGTACGGATAAAAATAGATATCCTAAAAATTACATTTCGAAGAATTCCTTCGACAGAAATATTGATGAAATCGAGATTTCGCAGTTAACACTGAAAATGGTGGAAAATACCAGTAGTAGAGTGGAAGATCAAACCGAAAATCGTTCGCACATTATTCCCACAGATTTAACGCCGAATGAACCGAACAAACATATCAGTTTTTAAATTTTTTCCTTTCCTGAAGCTTTTTCGCGTAAGAGGCAGTGAACAAAAGGAAAAAGCTCCTCAGACGACCTTAAGCTCACGGTGTTGCCTCAATGGCGCGCGAGGCACTACGTGCTACAACCGGAAAACAATCTTCAACTTGTCGGGATAATCTGCTTCGGTCACTAGGGACAGAGCTGAAGACAAAACGAAACATTTACAAAGGGCTGAGTTGAAACGGAACAGCACGCCCTCTCCAAAGTTTCCGCCAACGGAATCCTATACCTAGTGGAAAGATTGAGTTTTTGAAATTTGTGTGATCTTTTGCTTGAGTTCAAGAGATTACCGTGCCTTTTTCTCAAACGGGAAACTTCTGTTTCTCTGAGAATTCTTTCGCCAGCAATATTCAATAATTTTACTCTGTGACAAAATGATTGAATGACAAGTCTAGATAAGAAAAAGTCGACAGAAAAGGAAATTGTATTGGAAATAAACCAACATAAGATTGACGAATGCTATTCTCTCCTAGTTTTTCCAAAAAAATCACAGGGCCTTCCGGCGACTTTGCGTTTGATATTTAAACGATATTTGAGTCTACTCCTACGACTGAAACGTCAAAGACAGAAGAGGCTTTTTATTCATCCAGAAAAACTTCAAATATGAACAAAAGAAAATAGGAAATCTTACAAAGTACGTAGTACCTTTGAATAGTAATACACTTGAAACGAGGAATAGAAAAGGAGACAAACTAATTTTCAAAATAGAATGTTAAAAAAATTGCAACGTAAGAGATAATTGAACTCAGCCGGAATGCGGTCTTTCTGAATTTGAAACCTATCGATTGTTTCGTTACGAAATTGAAAATTTTACAATTACCTAAAAATATCTAGCTGCGAAATGAAAAGAACTCGGTGATAAGATGAACAACGAAGGAAAATGTTTCAAATTTGTTTTTTATTTGTTTATTTATGGAGGAACCGCAGCCACTTTTCCTAACATCCTGCAGTAACAAGAAAAATGTTACGTAACATAATTTTCAAAATTTTTGATGAAGATTCGCAGAAGTTTAGGTTTCTGAATACATTACAAATCCCTTAGTATTGAAAAGCAATACTGTACGAATAATAAAAAAGAAGAAAAAAAACACTGTGGAAATATTGGAAAACAAGGGGCCTTCCGTTTTGTGCTGTATCAAATATGATATTGCTGTACAATATCCAGTTGAGGGGCAAATATATTAAGCAGTATTGAAATACAAAAGGGCAGCAATTCAAACTTCCTTTTTTTAATAAATCAAAAACGTCCTATTCAAATTAAGACAGTTAAGATTACAGAAGAGACAATTTATCCGTAAATATCAAGATAAAACACAGTAACGACATGAGTGGATTGACGGCAGCGTATACTTCCAGTTATTGTACGGTGATCAGCTTTCTATAATTACAGGTCTTATGCCATATCGGTTTCTGAACTCTGGAGCTACGGTTTTTTTTCCCTAGTTATTTTTTACGCCTTAGAAACTCTAAAAACTTTCCTTAAAATGAACGAACGCAACCTTTAAAGGATTCACTTAAGCAGCAGGTTCATTTGACACTGTTTGCCACATCGAGCCTTAACAAAACGAAATTTGGTGTAAGTCTCACGAGGTCGTTTTTTAACCATAGCGAAAGGTGGAGGCATTGAACTGTACAGGGTGTTTGTTCAGCAAACACATTGCTTTTGACGCTTGAGGATTTCAGCTTGTTATCGAAACGTAATCAAAACCCCCACTAACATTGGAACTAATTAGCAGTGATTTTATGCGAGGAATTTTAATAGAAGGCAATGATATGACTGCAAATTGTAATAAAGACAGAACGGAGACACAGTGGAGCCAACTCCGGAAGTGGTTATAAATCCGCCGATTTAAGAAATTGTAAACAACGTTTTATCCTAAAGGCGAAAAAAAATAGAAATGAGAGACAAAGACGAGGGGGGCAAAAGTCGCTCGAGGCTCCACTTCTTTAGTTAACACTGAACTATCGCAGAAGAAAGTCCAGCGATAAAACGAAATACAAAAACTTTCGTTCTTCTCTTCAAAAGAAGTTTTGGTCGTCATTCGCAGTGTATATTGGAGACAAAGGAATTGTTTTGAAAAAGAAAATAGAGCAAACTCTTAAATTAATCTACAATACTTTATGACTTAAAAGCGACTACGTGTAAACCTTGAATTCCATCTAGTCATGCTCAAAACTTGGCAATACGTGTGTATTGTAATACTGAGCGAGATTCACAGAAACATTAAGTACAAAAATTATTTTCAAAATCTCATGAACAGTCTACTATTCGGAAACTTTGAGACCTTAGGCAAAATGGTCGGTGAGATCTGTTTCAAATTGCTTTCCAGCAGGGTCAGTGACATGTAGTTTGTCTCACTCCTTACTGATCGGGTTACTCATCAATTTCGGAGTTCCATCGAAATTTTGTGCACGCGCTTCATATTATCCTAGCACAAAGAGAGAAGAGTTATTACAAATTCTCGCCCACGCATAACTAAAAACACCAGTCGAATTTGTGTCGAGGTCGAGTGTGTATCGGCATATCCGATGCCGCGATATTTAACAAACACACAGATTGTAACAATGAAGACCAAGTATGTTACAAGCCTTTAAATCTATTACAAGCTTCCCGAAAGGAATTTCAAGACACGTCAGGGCTCCAACCTTTCTTCAACCGTGGCAAAAAAGACAGAAATTCATCGATAAAAAATGTGCTGACTCAATATATAAAACCATTACACAGTTAACCAAAAGTATTTATCCAGTATCTCTGAAGAGATAAGTCGGAATGTATGGTGTGATTTCTCAAGATATCACACCTGGTTTTGTTGATCGCAAAATGATATACAGCTATCAAAACATCACATGACTACAGCGAACTATTCTACTTCCAAACACGGCTTATCCCTAGCTCAAACCATTGGGTCTCCTCGAAACTAATCAACAGGGCTCTTTCACTGTCATATTGACCTTTCCAATCTCTTCTATTCTTTGCTGCATTCCACCGAGGCCGCACCCTAAACAAACCACAAACTCAATTGGCTAGAGAACTGACCCGTACTCTTTGGATAACAAAGATTTACTAAAAATAAATTTTGGAGTGTTTTGAATCCTCGTTTTGGCAGTCAAACATCATTCATCGCCGTTTGACGTTGATGAGTGCCATATTTCTAGGATTTCGAGCGGAACGAGAGATGTTAGAGACCCCATGTTTTCACAAGGCCTAGTTTGGGTCATTAGAGCTGCCTTTGTTTTTGAATTCCAAGTGTAAAAGACAAAAAAAAAAACGTGCTGTTCACGCTTTACCATGGATTGATTCGATTCAGTTCTGGAGGGTATTATTTTCTAGGGAACCGCGACGAAGAAGGTTTAATTTGTTATGAATGAAACGCCTGGGGCGAAAAAAAATCTGGCGGAAAGTCATTTGGAATGAATAAAAAGATGGCTCTATTAATATCACTTCACAGCGATTCGCGATGAAGCGGGGAGTTAGGACGTTCGCTTGTATTTTCTGAAAAGAGCACAACGAGACCTTCTACTCTAATTGATCGAGAGAAAAAAAAACCAGGCAGGCAAAATCGGTTTTTCAAGTCGAGATGCAATATAATGAGAACACATAAAGCGCTGTAACTACACGCATGACCGCTTTTGCTGAAGACAAGATTTCACAATACTTGCATCACGACTCTTACAGCTACTGAACAGAGACTAATTCATCTCGGTCAAGAATCCAGCCACCCACTTACTGGTTAAGAACCCGTTCATTAATCATGGTTCCTTTCAAGCCACACTTATCTAGGGTAGACATTACCATTAACTTCACCACTAATACCTTTGGTGCCATAAAGTATCCAAAAGTACCTCTTGCAAAGATATCGAAATGAAACCCTTAACAGAAGAATCTTTGCGTTCAGGCACCAAACGCAGTTCTGCTTGGTTTTAAAACGAAACGTGACCTTCTGAGAAAAATTGGCCAAAAGTGACGGGTGGCAATTAACACTTGGGATTATATTCGACAGGAAAACAGGTTGTTTTCATTACCACAAATCATGGCTAAAACCCGTAAAATAAATTAAGTTAGAAAAGAGAAAACCCCATTGACAATCGACTAAATTAGCAAAGTTTATCACTTAGTCACCTTTAACCGTCGTGGTTTTCGGCATTTAAATCTCAGAAAGGCCAAATCTGCCAGAAACGAACAAAAATAAATACACTGACACGCAATTGGAGGGAATCTCAAAATAATTTATTGAACCATCTTTGGACTGTGTTGATTACCAAACAAAACTGACAAGAGGCAAGAATTCGCGACAGTTTTGCGACTTAGACGTTCACTGAGTTGTGGCGGGAATCTGAGGGGTCTACTGTAGGCGTACACTTTTTCCCGCCTTGGGTGTTTCCAATGGCGCCTTTTTTTTCATCGATTGAAATTAAGAAAATTATACAGCTACATACTTAAATATCGTGTAAGACCTTTTCTCGAAGAAGTTGTAGGAGCTAGTTGTTCTTTCAGTACTTTCGCGCATCGATCAACTTAATTACACCTTTCAGATTAATATCTACTTCGACGATGTGGTCGTTTTAAATAACGGTCTAGAGTTTCTGAAAATACTCTTAAAAGGTGGGACCAATATTTCATGAACAAAACGCTATCAGCCCCTTTCAGTCAACAGCTTACTGTGAGAACAAAGATCTCAAAGTGGTTGTCCACGTTTACAGGGTTGAAATGAATGGATTCTATAGAACACCGGACATTTGGAGAGGAAACCACACGTTTGCAACAAAACGCAGCGAAATATCACCAATCAAACGTGCTAACCTTTTAACCATAACGACTACCCCGAAGAATTGAAACAATCGCAAGGAACTCACGCCCACCTTTAGATCATTTTACACAAGAAAAGGGTTGTGGGTGGATAACTCTAACGGCCAACGTGATTTGTTTTTTATCGAAAACGAAAGAACTTTTCACCCTCTATTGTTGCGTGACGGACACACAAATATTACCAAGCAGAGGAAAACAGCTTATATTGTTCACTAAAGAAAAGGAATATTTCATCTATGAGTCCATATTGCCAGATTAATATGCAGCACACGATTGACAAACAAATCAAAAGAAAAGAGGGTGGATTTCGAAACAGCATCGGTAACAATATAAAATTTTTTTTTCTTATGTGTAACAACAGTGTGGACGTGCTCGATCAAAAAAAACTAGAGTTTAGTTGACGAGTGTTTTCGTTGACCGCGGAAACTTGAAACAGTTATTGATAAACATCGACAATGCCACTTGAGTAATAGAATCGAAGTAAAAGTTTCATTTATTCCTAATTTCTTATCACTGACCAGACTTTTTTCCACAATTAAATTCAACTACAAGATTATCTTTCCAATCAAGGAAAGTGTGTCCATTTCTAAGTGTCTAATTTCCTGTGTTTTTCTCGTTTAGTTTCAAACTAGCGGAACTCGACGAATTTTTTTTTTACTGTTCTCCTTCTTTCATGCGAAAATTTCTTCAAATAATAAAAATCCCACCCTTGAAGAGACGTGAGGTCTGTCTAACCGCAGGAAATTCTAGGTTGTTTAAAGTTAGCGTGATTCCCTCAAGAATTGAGCGAGAGAAAACCAGATTAAGTATGACGCAATTTGACAACCACGTGAAATTATAATCTCCCAGGTCGACTCCAAAATTGAACCTGTTTTGTCTGTTTATTGAAAAAATGCACTGTAATTCCTAGACGTGCATCTTCTGACACAAGGTTATTTCAAAAGGGGCTTCGCGACTTAGTAAAAGGTGTAATAAAATCCAATTTAAATAAATGTTTTTGTTCTTGACAACAAATTCGTAGCGATAGTTCTTTAACTTGACCTTGTTGATTACGTAAATCTTCTTGGCACAAGACAAGCTCAGTACACAAAAAAATTGAATGTTTCGTGACTTTTGCGCAATGAGGAAAAAGCAGACGAATGCAAGATTTTAACCAACAACTTCGAGGTAATTTTCTTCAAATCATCTATACCCTCTTGAAATACCACGTAACATACAAAATATTCTAATAAAAACGGTTCAGAATACTCAGGACGAGAAACTTAGCTTTTAATCTTTGCTCAATTCAAAATTAGATACCTTAAATTAAAAAAGGTCACCGCCCGCGCTAAGAAAAACACACGATCAACGTATGAAAGTTAAATTAAATTTATTAGATTGCAAATTTAATACAAAAACCGCACAGTTATGCCAAATACAAATTTGGAAGTAGAAACAAAACAGTTTCACGCCTTTCTCTACTACTTTATGGTGGAGGTTAAACTAATTCGGACGATGATACACACAGTGTCATTTTACCTCTGCCAAATTTTGGTATTCAAATGATATTCAGAGCAACTTTTCACCAAATTCGAGACTTCTGTCTCTGAATTCGAGTTCGTGATAAATTGTCGGACCACGTTTAATCACGGCCTTTGTGATGAGCCTACTGAGGAGTAGAGAGTCAGAGGGGGTAAATCATTCGAGCGCGAAGCGAGGATTTGGAGGAGGGGGGCGGGGGAGGAGTTTCGAGTCCGTTGATCACCGCACCGCACATCGCGCTTCTAGTAATTTCTCTTCTCGCCAGTTTAAACGTAGGCTACGTCATTTGCAAAAATCCACACACACACACCACACAAAATCATACAAAGAAAGCGATAAGCTGTTGTAATAACTCACTTAGAGTAACTACATTTATCCGCAACGCGAATACGTGAGAAACTCCGCAAATACTCAATTGGAAAGGAAAAGTCCAGAAGCGTAACAATTCTCTCTTTTTGAACATTGTACCTTCGCGTTGGATGTTTATTACTCACATGCTGTCGAGTTTTTGATCATTTTATCTTCTCGAAACTAGTGCGGCGTGAAAGAAAAAGTTTGATTATAAGTTATAAAGGATATCTGAATGTTATAACGGGAAAGGATAGTAACCTTTTCCAAAGCGTTTCCATTTACAACTTAAATTCAAAGCAGGATCAGATTTATAACTATAAAACTTCACCGTGATCGAGTATTTTATTTGTACGCTTTGGGAATGGAAGGTGCGACCGGTCTCATGAATTTTTCTTAACAGGAACCGGCTTTTTTGCGATTCCGAAGGTAATAGTAAAGATTGAGCTTTAGACTGCAATATTGAAAGGAGCGTTTCTCGAGGTTTAAGAACTTACAGGAGATGAGTCACAATGATTAAGAGTTTTTTTCGTCCCTGAAACTCGTTGCTTATAGAAGGGAATCTTTAAATGATACCTCGCAGGTGTAGTCAAACTCAGTGGAGAAAGGGAAAACTAAACGGGAACAACGATGGTCGAGGATAGAAAATATTAAAACGGGTTGGAAATTTAAGGCTTGAAATTACACATATACAACTGAGTTCTCTGTTCAAAAAGTAACAGTAACCTCCTCAGAGACTATACTGCTCATACTTTCCGGTTGGTCAGCTTAGGGAAGAGTACACTAGGTTATTTACTATGTTCCGCAATAAGAGGAAAAACAAATATTAAAACTAAGATAAAAAACGTGGGTACTTCTGCGAGAAAATAGAAAGCTCGCGCCGTCGCAGTATAAATAACTTTAGTAAAATCGTTAGCATGAAAGATTAGAAAGGGAAATCATGGGAGAGGATTTAATAACCGAGTTGCACATGCACCATAAGTTTCGTTAAGAACCAAATAGCGTTATTCATTTAATTTAATTTCCTAAAATAATCACTTTTGCGCCAGAGTTCAAGTGGTGGTCAGTTGCTTTCAGTTGGGCCGCTAATTATAACTTATGGTGTTTCATAAGAACACTTGCACTTAATTACTCCAATTACAGTTAGACACTCGAGTAAATTGGCTGAAGGAGGTTGAGCCCAGGTTCAAGAAAAAGAGTTGAAAGACAATTTGAATCAGTAGCAGCCACGAATATCTTTCATTATTTTCAAATGACCCCGTCGCTCAAGGGAGTAAGCTATAATCAACACACCTTCTTAAAATCGTCACGTACAGCGAGGGAAAAGTATTCAATATGTTAATACGATTTTGCAAAAAAAGAGAATAAAACTTTAACCCACATATTGTACTTTGCCACATTCTTTTCATAGTTTTAGTGATCATAAACAAACACTGGTTGCTCCTAAAACCGAGACTACGATTTCCTGTAATACGACGAGTTCCTTTATTTAGATCAACCTTTTGGATCGCAAACAAACAGCCATCTGTTAAAAATTAAAGGTCTTTCCTCATTGAAGACTCCTTTCACTGCATTGCGGGGCTACATTCTGTCAATAAAGTGTTTTCTCATCGAAAACAAGTAGTGACAAGGAATCGGTTGTGCTTTGTTAAGTGATTACTAAGAAAGGAATGCTTTGTTTTGAAAATTATCAGTCCGCACTTCCTTTCGTTTCAAGGGCACCTACCAGATTCCCTTCTGACGACATTACAAAGGAATTTGAGTCGTATCATTTGAAACCGAAAATAGCTCTCCATACGCAAAAACCTATGTAACTGTTTTAGAATTTGAAAGTTCCTGTCCTGCTTTCGAATTTACAACCACAAGAAATCGTGTTCTTTTGCCAGCTATGACAACTGGTCAAACAGGATCAAAGATCCTTTTTTTTTTAGTTTTTTTTTGGCAGAGTGAGAAAAATTATCAACGAGTGGTGAAAATAAGCAGTTAGGTAAATTCGATATAATAAAATCTTATTAAGTAAAGGCCTTTTTTTTTGTTATTTCTATCATTTCTTAGGAAACAACGGGCGAAAAAACCACAAGGAAAATTCTTATAGGTTTCCATTCCCTACCCCTGACTCTGTTCTGTCACGTCACTCCTAACGAGTTGTAACTCAATTCGTTTCAGCATTCGAAAGGTCGGAAATGAAGTAAATCTTTTGCGCAGAGGGCGTTAAAAATGCTGACACAACACGCAAGAAATAATCCTTTCCGTCGTCAAGCAAAACAAACAAGCTCCAGGGAGAAAATACATTTTTCCTGTCAATGGAGCTGAGGAAATGATTCAGCAACAACGAGAATCCGTTTACAACACCCTAGGTAAATAAACGACCACTTGAACTGCTGAAAAAACCGCTTACTGCGTATTAGTAAAATGTGTACTGTTATAAAATACTACACATTCCTAAATGACAAAAATCGTCTCTCGGTTCAAGCTTTTGTCGACCACTTGCGCGCATTTAACTTTAAAACGAATTCAACTACTCAACTAAATATCTAAGAGATAGTTGATAAAGCAAGAGGAAAACCACCTCCAATAAAATCTGTTTTTGAACTGTAATTTTTGCATTCGGTAAACAACTAGATTAGACTAGGATAGACAGGAGAGAACAGTGTTTTACCTTAACCGTGTGCAAGCGAGCGAAATTCCGCCGAAGAAACGCATTCCGCCAGATAATCGTATTCTCGGTAGATAAAACTTAACACCGTAAACTAATCGCGACTCTTCGTTATTTTATCTTCTAACTACTGACAACAACAAAAATATTTGCCTCTAACCCAGCGAACGTTTCAAGTGCTGTGTATCCGCCCTCTTTCATTGACATGGTAGAAAAAGTCGCAGTACTGTAAACATTTTACTGAACTTTGATACAATGGGGACATCGTTTTCAAACATCTTGGTTGGGATAACACATAACAAAAAAATATTTTCAAGGACTTATTTTTCTAATTTGCGAGTATGAGGCAAACAAATCACTTTGCAAAGACCAATAGATTTCGGTCTGTGTGTTATAAAACAACCTGAGTTTCATTTCTTCCAAGGAAACCCTCAAGGAGAGGGATCGTTCTATTCAAAAACTTAGCCCAGGTTGACCGAACTATGACAGTAACGAGGCAATAAAATTGATCGCCTGTCCCCATATACCGTCGTCTTACTTGTGGTTCTTCGGAGGAAACGCACCATGAGACTTTCATGAATAGTTCTGTTGTGGCCCTTTTTTTCCCTTGTTTATTTTATATTTAGAGCGCCGTTCTAGACTTTAACATGAGCTTGACCTTTAAAGATGACAAATCCGGAGGGTTTGTTTGATAAAATATCCGCTCGTATGCGGTAAGATAACTCCCTTTGAGTGTAATGCGGTCTTTCAATTTGGTTTAATAAGTCTCTGGGAATCGAATCATATCAATCCCTAGTAATACATTTGGCATGTTGTTAAAACGGGACTCGTCCCCTTAACTTCAAAGTTTCTCTGCCAAAGAGGCCGAAATACGTCACATTACTGTAACGAGTTACGAATTCAGTAAAACAGCTGTTTCTCAGAAAACAGAGGAAAATTCGACGGGCAGCAGCCTGTACCCAACCGAAAGATCATGAGATCAGATAGGAGGAATACGATTGTTGACACAAGCTTAACTAACATTTGCGTGTAAGAAGCAATATTTGTCGTGGAAACAGATGTCAAAAGACTTCAAACCTTTTTTGGCTTGTGGTCAAATGTTCACGGAAGTTTTCATTTCAAAGTAAGATTGCCGCCCCACCCAAAAATAATATCAAGATCGTAGGTTACACTCTGAACTGGACTGAATTCTCTGGAAAAAGAGACAGAAATCTTCCTTCTCTAATCTAGAGTACGAATGGTCGTCAAAATCCAGCTCCGAGAGAAAAGCAATATTTAAATGTTCTGAAATATAAAAACGATGATAGACAGGTCTTTTAACGGTTAAGGGGTGAAAAGTCTGGTTGAGATGAACTACGTTCGCATGGGTAATCATTTGATTTCACTTGCGCCACTCCGTACGGTAATGCTATGACAAAAATTTATTCGCGGCTTGAGAAGTGGTTGTAAGCTACACGCATAAGTCGTACAGGGTTGATTTGCAAGGGACGATAAATAACTTGGAAACAAGCTTGCAAGTAAAAATAAATTACCCTTCTCGTGAGTCACCCCGATCTTTCTAGTAAACATCCTGCCGCGCAAACAAATGTTGTTATTCGTTTAGTCACGAACGTGGGACCCCAAAAAAACAAAAACAAAAAAACAATCTAAGTACCCCACGAGCAGAAAAAAAACCTAATTCCCCCAAAGAGGAATGGAACCTCTGACTTCGGATTTCATGATCTGGTGCTTTTCCACTAACAGGGTAATGTAGTATTATCAACTGAGTTGATAACGTAAATTAGCCACCGTAAAGAGTTTCAAAGCTGAAGTTTCAAGCGTTAGCCCTAGCCTTTCGCTCTGACGAAGCGAACTATAATCTCAATAGATAATACTAAATTACCCAGTTATACTCTCCCACTGAAGCAGCACCACAGTTTCTATAGAAATTTACCCCCTTTATTCACCTGCTCTTCCACAAAGTTGGCACATAGGTGGCGTAGAAAGCTACGCTATATTAGTTCCATTTGTGACAAGCTCTCTGCTTACTGATTACTGGGATCAGACAAGTCTAGGCTAGAGAACTCTATGAGCAGTCAAAACTTTCTGATCATATCAATTAATTTCTACCGAAATCTTGCCTACTACTCTGACAAATTTTCTAAAATAATTCTACGAAGGTAAGAAAAACTTAACAAATAAATTGTCAGTCATTTCCTCTGGCCTGCTTCTTTCCTCTTGTTATCGTAAGCGCCCATAAAGAAAAGCCAATTGTAAGGTTGGAAGGTCGGGATTTTTGAGAATTGCCTTTGTGCAAAAGTTGATTCTTCTTGAGAATTGCTTTTTCAGCGGAGAGTTGAAGCTCATATTGGCTACAGTTTTAACATTATAGTTAGAAGATACTCCAGGCGCTACGAGTCTGATAAGATCGTTTCTAGTTTGCTCTACTTTTTTCGTTTAATCATTTAACCCTAAGAATGATTGGCTGCTAGTTTCTCCTAACAGTGTCACCCTTAACTCAAATATAAAGGTCATGAGAATATAAATATTGATGTTAGAGTGTGAAGGGTTTAGAAGCAAAGCCTTATTTAGCAGAAGTTGATCAACGTTATATCTTGTTTGCAGCATCAGAGCAGGAGCCAAACGCAACTGGCTACCAATCACAGCGAACGATGCGATTCCACATTCTAGACATTCATCCTTAGCTAAAAAATTCAACGTTCTTTAAAATGAAAAAAAAAAGTGCACCCTACATAGAAAGCAAAATACATGAAAGAGGAACGTCGCTTCTAACCATGGAATGCAACTAATAATTTTGACTTGGGGGTTTAAAAACGCTCTAGATATGAAGTACGTCAACTAAAATAAGGTGTGTTATTTAATCTTCTTTATCTTAACCAGATTGAGCCTAAGAGCGACCCTGTTCTGAGGCATTTTGTAATAATTTACGCATTTTGCACAACGGACAAGCCATGTAATAAGGGCTGCAGGATTTTGTGCTGTTTTTCTTTATCTAAACTGGCTCGAGATCGGGAACGACCCTCTATTGCGAGTTTCTTGGTGGCGATGATGACAATACCTCAAGTATTCAACCAAAGAAAAAGATCAACGGACAGTTTCTGAAGTTAACTTAGAAGAAAATTAGCAACACAATTTTGTTCGCATCTTGCATCTCAAAATCATTGCTTCTGGAGTACTTTTTGCCAAAGAAGTGCGCGCTAGAATTTTATGACGATAAAATTTCTTTACGTGACAAAAGATAAAGTTTTCGTACTTTGATAACTTAGCCGTTTCTACCAGACCTGCCCTCAAAATTTGTACACCCTAAAACTCCTCCGATCAAAGAGGATGAAATCCATGAATACGTTCGACTGTGACGAGTTTCAAGTTCAAACCTTAGGAGATACAATTTCACTCACGATGTTCTACATTCTACTCTACTTTATTACAATCATTTACAAGCTCTTTCCTTCACACAAGAAGGTAAACAGATATATAGACGTTTTGTCCTATCTTACTACATTCATGTACCTCTCCAAAGTTACTTCCCTGTCCTCTTCGTAGACTCAATTTCCTCTATTTTGACGGATTCAACCTCCGATTCTGCCGAGAAGGAACTCAGTTCGGTGGAAGACCGCGGGCTCATTTCCCAAAAAGCGTTTAGTAATCGGGCCTAGTCTCTTCGATTTTAAAAATTTTTTGATTTTCTCATTTCAAGTTTTGTCCATCGAGTTCTTTGCCTTCGTAATGCCAAATAAGCTGTTTCGGCCAGTTTGCCGAATGGGTGAAAAACACCGGTCGTGTAATAAAGGCTACACACCAATATTGAAAGCTATCGCAAACCTTACGGAGTCACAGTAGATTGACAAAGTTTTTCTTTACATATACCATATAGGATGCTACTTTGGAGGCGAGTCCGGAATCCCGGTTCCTGGAAAACTGTTCCCAAACAGAGGCGAAGTGGGAGGTAGGACAAACGATGCTTGGCCGGCGGCAGTCGGTGAGAGTGGCATGCCCGACAGAGAGGTCGGAAAGGCGGATCGAGTGGGCGAAGACATCAGCGGATTCATCCCTGAGTGCATACAGAAGTATGGCTGACCATCAAAATTTTCCCAAGTGCTCATAATTTTCTTTGGGATAGTAAACTTTCAGGAAGACACATTCCCCGCAATATCCAAGCCCTATTCAAGCGATTTGCCTGATTCAATTTACCATTAAATGGTAAAGAGACTTAAGAAATGGTTGCTCCTAACAATAGGCCCCTTCATTCTACGCGACAACTCTAGCTCTGCAATCCTCATCCATCGTCATCATGAACTCGAGAATTCAAGACGAAAAATTAGTGGACCAAATCAAACGTCCGCGACATTAGTGCAGTGTTACAAGGCCCTTGGGGAAGTACTTCTTAGTGATAGGTTAATGAGGATGCGCCGCTGGATGAGACCGCACTTGGATTGACTATAATGGGGTTGCATTTTCAATAGGGTTATTAAGAATTTTTCGGAATTTTTGGAGGTAAGATAATTCTGGTAAGCGGGGATTTAAAAGAGGAAGATTCGCGGCTACCAAAGCAATGATTCCAATCATAGGGTTGAAGGGAAATCTCTCTAAAAAGGATTCACATGAACTGCGATGCTTCATTAACTCAACTACGAGTGAGTTTGAAAAGACTGAGCAAGTTGGATGTGGACGAGACGTAGACTCTCCATTGAGAGTTCTTTTCTGTCTCCTTGCACCAGTACTATTTTCCCAATTTCCTTATCTGCGTTGGTGAAATTTCTTGATACACAAGTGCTTCCTTTCCCCCAACTCCCAAATAATACAAAAGACAAATGATGGCAAAAGTGCCTAGTTTTTCCTGACAGGATCACCCAAAATGTGATATGGCGTCGTTCATGCCTTTGAGAAATACTTTGGAAGACTTGTTCGAGTGTACTTGATGTTAATTACAATCGAACGGAAGACAAACGGGCAGTAAGAACTGTGCAAAGCTCGAATCGCGGCAAAACAAATTCGTGTTATAATCCTGTCTTCTTTTTTCAGAAGTATAAAAGAATTTCTGCCACCCTGACGAGCAAAACTGTGATAGGACTTCACCAGAAACTTTGAAGATGCGGTATCCCATTTACGTTAGAGGGGGGAAAGGGGATTAACGTTTACCGCTCTGAGCTTCAGCCAGAAACATTTTCAAAGCTAAGAAACCTACCTGGATCCATTTCGGTGTCATGCTCTAAGCCATCAAGCTGTGTGCTTGGACTAGGACTACAGAGTCCTGGGGACGAGAGAGGAGTGATGGTGGACGCCAGAGTCAGCGGTCCCATGTCTGGATCTACAAGATATAACACATCAACTTGTAACCACGCCTTTTTAAAGGCCACGGCTCTCTGCCCACGCACGAAGTAAAAAGGGTTTGTGACCTCTTCGGCATGTAGGTATGCAGAGTATGGCATTATTTATCCCTACCCAGTTCCCAGATGGGATGCCATTTCAAGCTATTTAAGCCCACCACTGCTGATGGTGTAATAGGCGGCTGTGTCCGGAAAGGGGGGCCGTAAGGCACACGAGAGCCTTCTCATAGGCAGAACAGACGCCGATAGACCGCCGGTAGCCTGCCTTTATTGAAACTCCTGGGCTGTAATCAGGAGCAATTACTTATTGGTCCTTCCAAGCGATGGAAGAGCTAATATCTATAAATAATCATCATAGCTCCGTCTACCTAAACTTACCAATCATATTTCTCACCTTTAAACATTTCTTCGTCGTGGTCAATTGGCTGACTCATCGTTTGATTCATTGCCCGGTCTATGGGCTGTTCCATCGCAGAAGAGGGATGAAACGTGGTCATTCCTGCTGGCATAGGATCGTCTTCGTGCAAGCTGGCGATGGAATCGTCCTCAACACCGGAGGGGATTCCCTGAAGGACACCTGATGGATCCGGAGTAGATGAAGAAGAAGCCTTTCCCGCTGGAAGGGAGAAAACCAGAGGCAAAAATAAAAAGATGCTTAAATATATAAATTTCATTAACACTTACATGCCACAAACCATGCACATTTTTTCTATAAATGTTCCAAAATAATGTTGTCAGTTTAAGGGGCACTATTACTGGTAAGATCACATGGCCTGAGCACAACATTGGTTGTTCAGAGTTTGCCCTAAAAAACTAATCAGATCGCTCTTACGAAAACATCAACAAAAACAACAGCAATATACTTGCTGGGGTTATTTAGGTACATTCAACAACATATCAAATATTTCGCCCAGTAATCAAGAAAATCCCTAGACTTCTCCACAGTTAAGGTCGGAAGTCGAACCACATTTTTCCAAGAATTCAACACTTTCAAAACTCCTGGGTGTTCTTGAGCAAAAAAACAAACAAACAATAAAAACAAAGCAAAAACAAAAAGAAAAATAAAACACCGATACACCAAAGAAAAGACAGAGAACGAAAATTCAATAAATTTTCGCTTACCTTGTTTACTTTGCGGTTTTGGTAATTCAAACTTCACCCACTGGTACTTCGTACATTTTCGCGCCCCGGGCAAGCTTTGAATCAAATACTGAATGGTTGGGTGAGAGAAACCGAAAAACTCTGGACCCGAGCCTGTATTAGAAGCGTCCCTACCCCTGCCGGGACAAAAAATGTCGTAGGTGAGGCACAAACATTTCAAATTAAACGAGCTACACTGTAAGTGACATAGGACGCAAGAAATCTTTAAGTAGCAGAGAGCAAGTTCTCAGATTTCTAACGCAACCTTCTCCTTTAACTTTCAGGATGAGTAAAATCAACAGCTTTCCACAGTCACATGTACCTGGCCTTATTGACCGCCTTCAGCACCACGCAGTGGCAAGCTGTGGCTGAAGAGGCTACGATTGGGTGGTCTGGGTCATCTTCAGGACACATCTCAAACTGGAGGCAAATAGAACGAAGCAAAATTATGAGAAAAGTGGGATCACTTTGAGTATCTGAGCAATTGCAGACCTACCCCTCCCCTAACCCAACAACAACAACTGATAATAAGCTAACAGAATTGGGTTACGAGAGGAGTAGGAACACAGTTGCCCACATACTGACATTGATCCGATACATGCAACACAAACTACAGGTATGTAAACATGACAGCTTTGGATTTTCAATAACGTTTCGAAAGTAGTTAAATAAAGACATCTTAAGTGTTTACGTGTATAAATAAATTACTTACTTAGTACTTACTTCCAGTCTGGGGGCCGTGGATACCGATCTGAGGGACCGGTCCAGGGACTTTCCTCGTTATTGCTATCTTTGGTTTCACAGTCAGCAAGATAGCTATAATAGTTTGAATAGGATAAGCGCAAGTCGCGTTGAATGTAAATTGGGCATACCTGCGGTCCGAATCCCCCATCCAGAATCTTGCAGGTGTAAATACACTTCTTCTCTGGATTACGCATACTCGGATACGTCCTGGAACTGCAATAGCCCACGGGCCAAATATAACGTTCAGAGTGGAAACCAGGCCGGTCAAAAACAATCTGTAAAGCAACGAAAGCTGTCACAAATTTACGATAAAATTAAGAACAGTGCCACCCATGTGCCGCACATTATCTAACTTGATGAGAAACATGATTAATTTTGAGCTTGGTCCTTAAATTAACCCTTAGGGTAATTTTTGCTGGGTATCTGCCGCTGGCCTCTTAGAACTCCATCCCCACTAAAGTCTATTCTGTAGCCAGACCCCACCTTGGTCTCTTTTGGTAATACGGTAACAACTTTTATAAATGCGAATCTTTCCATTCTTAAATCCATACTTAGCAGAATTTTCTTGCCGACCAAGATCCCTAAAATTTGTGCGACCCCATTCTAATAACTCTATTGACGAAGCAACCCCATTATGGTCAATCCAACATGCGACCCTATCCACGGGCGAATCCCTGATAGCCTTGAAAGTATCCTTCCGGATAATTCTTTTATTTCGGACATCTCAGGGGGGTCTATCCATTACCAATCCTGTGTCGTGAATTTTGCTCACGCAAAGACTGAATTTTCCTCAAAGAAAAGGATTCATCAAGGAATATAACCCTAGTGGGGCAGCTCAGTCCCAGTCCCTGACATAGAAAGTACAGAGATGTTTCATATGACTTACCTCGCCAAGACTGTGAACTGTGAGACCCCCCAGTACAATGGGAAAAATGGGTTTGCCTGAGTAAAGAGAGATAAAAAGGCCTGAGTACAAACATTTGAAACTTGATCGATATTCTGCACTGACATTGTTCATTTGTAAACACGTTTTCTTTTTGGTTCATTTGTTGTTGTTGCTTTTGTAGGGGACTTTTTACCTTTTGCATCCACTGCAATGGGCTGCACCTTCCTCTTGATGGCAGTGCCTGGCTTCTTTCTCTTAGGCTTCACAGGAGGAGTACCTTGATTGGCTGTCGTTGCGGCTACAGTGAAAGATAAAATATGTGAACCTTATTCTCAAACTGAGTAATGCTGATAATACTTAATTACCCTGTTATACTCTCCCACCGACGAAGCACCGCAGTTTCTTTAGAAACTTACCACCTTTATTCTCTATCAATCTGAGATCTCATTATTTCTCAGATTACAGCAAGACTAACAGGCACATCAAATGTATGTTGTTTTATGGTACGTGGGTAGTATCCATGTAGCGAACAGCAATTATCTTGGGCACATAATCAAAACTGTCATTCGTATAGTGTGATCGTTCTGATCTCGTGAATCGTACAACCCTACAATATCTGCGTCAACACAGCAGTCAAAGTCTCCGCATGAGCGAACGTTGTAATGACTAGATGGCGTGCTTTCAGGCCGTCAGAACAAAGTTGTCTCACAAGAGTTACAAACAACCACACAAGCCAGTAAGACATGGTGCTTTAAAAAGCGTTTAACTTTTCTGTTAAAGCTCAAAACAAAATGGTAAATCGACAGAAAACCCGTACTTGAAAAAGCTTTGTGTTCCATAAGTCTCAAGCTTTCCTTCTCCTTAGACTTTTCTTTCCTTCTACAGATATCTAGGTGCGTTTTAATTTTTGTTCGTTCATTTAGTGAGAGCGCGGTTACTTAATATGTTTTCCTTTGAAATTTTGGGCGGGAAAGTGGCTCGCAGCCGGCCAGAAGTGATCCCCTCACGCATGCGCAGCGTTTGACCGCTGTGTTAATTAACACCCACCTTTTGATGATACTGCAGCAGAAGTAATAGCATTTGCGGCGCTAGGTGCGGAGTTCTCAGGTTGTGCTTTAGGCTTCTTTGGTTTAGCAGGCTTTTTCTTTTCTTGTCTCGCCGGCTTCTCCTTCTCTTTCAATCCGTCCTTACCTGTTAAAGAGGGGCAAACAATATTCATCTCCAAACCAAATTTTCTTTAAGTGTACCTGTCCCCGGTCTAACCATTTAGCACGAAAAGTATGGCCCCTCTTCCCAGGGGGCATAAGTAAGGGGAAATTCTGGGGTATCCGTATGTCCCCCCTTGCATTTGAGAGATGGTTTCATACTCTAAGTTTACAATCTTATTAAGGAGGCAAAGGAACGCGAACTCCCTCCCCCTCTTTGGTAAATCCTTGCAACGCCCCTATCTCCCAACATTAGCTGTGATAAACCAGACAAGACAAACCTGCACCCTCTGTAGCAGCCTTCTCAGCTTTTGTTGCCTTTCCTCCAGAAGACTTGGGTTCTTTCTCTGCCTTTGGTTTCACTGCGGTCTTCTTGGCCTTCACTTTTGGTGGCTTGGCCTTTTCCGCGACAAAAGGAGGGTACATCATCGGCGGTAACATGTCCGGAGAGAAGGGAGGGTACGGTGCAGCTTGGAACATCCCTGCCTCAGCAGCGGCTTGATACTGAAACAACCTCTTGAGAATGAACCTTTGAGAAAATGAATAAATAAGTGCGGAAATGAGTTGTAGATGCAATCAGGGCTGGTGACTACTTTGCATTCCTGTATTTCGTCTAGATATGTTTGTTTGGTTGCGATATTCAGACGGGCTGGCCCAATTCAGCTTTAAATCTGGTTTAAATGGGGTCTGTATAAACAATAACAGGGCCAGTCTACAACACCAGGAGCTACATGTACATTCCCCACTCTTTGCGAGAAGTGCGTGGGTTCTTCCCCAGCTAACCAGTACAGAGGTGGCGCAGGAGACGGGGCTTATGGATTATCGTCCTTTTCCGAGAAAATAGAATGTCTAACAATTTTCGGATGAAGTAGCAAAAGCAGCAAGTTATCTTCAGTAACTTTAAGACCCTGAGTGTTGGTCTGGTCTGAGGCTGGAACCCTCGACCTTCCTTGCGGCACTGAGTCCAGCGCTCCACAACATGAGTAAATCAAGCGCAGTAAACGGTAGAACTTACAGAAACCTTTACAACATCATGCCCCCTTTTATTAAAAGTTTGGTTAGTTAAACAACCAGTCTTAAGCCTATGTATCTTTAAACTTAGCAAGAACAATAACAAATTACTTTACACAGATAAGATTTACCTTCTCTCTGCTTTTGCTCTTTGAAACTTTACCTCAGTTCTTTGAACTTCATCACATAATGCTCCATTTTCCTACAAAAAATGTCATTGGAAATGGGACTATCAGTGGATTTTGACAACCCTGCTAGAGCAACGCATTCTCAGATAGCTTTCGATACTCAGTTCAAAATTGCTCACGTAGATAAGTAATGGCCGTTTTTATGCTAGAGACGTTAAAGTTGTCTAAGACGTTAAAGTCGTCTCGAGACGACTTTAACGTCTTAGACAACTTTAACGTCTCTAGCATAAAAACGGCCAATATTTATGAGTTATTGACCATGCGTGAAGTCACGATGGCTGGATGTTGGCCGAGTACTATTTTGCGTTGGTATGGACCGAGACAAAGGCGAGGTTCATAAATACGCAAAAAAAGGACGAGGCTAATATCCAGCCATCTTGACCGAACAAGCTCGGTCAATAAAGAATTTTCTATAATTATTGCAAAAAAAATTTCGCTTAATTGAGAATGAAGGATGACTTGTTTATTTCGAGAGCCTGGAAAGAACGCCTGTGTGTGTTTGTAGCACAATAAACCCACAAGAGTCGTTTTTACGATTTCTTTGCTTTAACTGTCTTCTGCCGCTGTTTATGACTCCATCACCAATTCTGTCCAAAAATTACGAACTTTGTAAGTACGCTCAACGCAATTTTTTTCTTACACGGGATCTTGGCGGGCAATCCTAGGCGACAAAGATGGGCCCATCTTGCCCACTAGGGTAGCCAATCAGAGCACGGGATTCGCTTCATATTGCCCACGGGCGTTGCCAGTAATAAAATAAATCAAATAATGTCAATACTTACGAAGACCAGCTGTTTGACCAAACGTTTTATCCGAAGGTATTTTCTGTTGTAGTCAATGGGTTGTTTTGAAGTGGTAGTTTTAACAGACTGCAAATTAAAGAAGTTGTTAATGTTGTAATTGTTGTTGTTGTTTTTTTTGTGTTGTTGTTTTTTTGTGACAGTTACCTCACCCAAAATCCTGCTTTAAAGAAAAGTGTGTTTTTACTCCAGGTAAATGAATTACCATGTGTACCACACGTACACCTTTAAAAGTGTACAAGAATTGCCTTCTATAAAAATACAGTGCATGTACATATACATGTAGTTTTTAATGACAAATCTCAGAAATGTTAACCTGTAATTGACAATTTGCACAATATCTATCAACTTCATTTTTCTGCATCAATTTATTTGCAAAGCAAAAAAGGGGTTCATAACTTACACTACTAACCTCAAACTCTGTTTAGTTAGTAAGAATTACTGAATTTTGCATGTACATAAAACTTTGGTTGGTTATAGATGCAAGGAAAACTGAATGAACTTTGGCTTTGATTTTTCTTGCACTTGAGCTTGGTGAGTGCAGAGCTTGATTAAATGTACATCCCTATTGGCCTAAAGGCTAGGTTTTTTCTTTTTTTTTTTTTGGTAATCTCACAAGCTCAAGATAAAGGAAGTTAAATACATGTAATTATGGTTGATTGCTGATGCCTCTCAGCTTTATTTCAAACTCAGTCACCTGATCATCACCCTCTGTTGTCTCATTATCCATAGAATCATCATCATCTTCATCATCATCATCATCTTCAACCTCAACTTCCTGTGTGATTTTGTTTATCAGAATATTAAGTGTTAGAGGAGACTGACTCAACTGTTGCAGTTTAACCCCAACTTGTCAGTTATTCTATACCACAAATTGATATTGGAACAACTGATAGACCCCTCATTGATATTTTTCTATATTCTCATCACTTGTCTGCTTAATATTGTATTGATATTTTAAGGAAAATTTCTGTCTTGGTCACTCCAGGAGTTAAAGAGTTAATGAATAATTAGTCAATATTAATGTTATTAACAAAATAAAGAACTCACCATCAAGGCAAACCATCCAAAGCGATTATCAATTCTTTTAAATCTGGAGCTTTCACGAAAAGTCTATAAGGGAAAACTCATTCTAATCAATGAATAGAAAAAGAGATTGTGCATATGGATTAAAACATTAAATCCCATTTCTCACTACACAAATCCAGAAAAAGTTACTTTCATTGTGATCTACAAGTTATAAGTGAAAGAAGTTTACTTGCCTCACGATATAAGATTGATTCTAGACTGTTCAAAGCCTTTGATCTGGAATTAATCAAACAAACCATCAGTTCATGAAAGTTAAAAAATGTGTTAAAACTTTTTAAATACTGTATTTCCTTGAATAAGCACCCACCTTCTGATGGGCACTCTTCCCCAAATAAGCCCCCATCCCCTAAGCTATAGTGCCAAACAAGTGCCCCTCTCAAATTAACACCCCCCCTTACTTTCTTAAATAACAGGAATGCAAGAAAAACCTGTTTCTATTGCCACTTTATTCATAACCTTCTAAGCCTCAACTACAGTGGAATCAGAACTGGTGAATAACAAGGACCTCTCTCTATTAAGCACTCTCCTTAAAATAAGCACCCCCCCTTAAGCTGAAATTTTAAATAAGTGCCAGAGGTACCATGTTTCTAGAACACTGATATACATAAAAACTTCTGAAAACTGACATCATCAAATCCATCACCATAAAATTGAATTCTACTAGTAGTGTATAAGTACATTTAAAAAAAAACATTTTTACATTGAAAATATATATTGAAATAATATAAATATCTTTTGTTTTCTTCTCAAAAATTGTCTCGTTTTTTATGAGCAAAGAAAAGGTATATATATTTGATATATATTTTGAATATTGCAACCTTGTTGTAGATAAGTATATATATATATATATATAATTTATACACATACACAGGTGAGAAAATCATGTTCATGGTGTTAGAGGTGGTACATATACATTGTAGGTAATAATTATAGCCTTTAGAGCACATGTTCAAAGAACTGACCTGGGTGGGATGAGCCCACTTTCTACAATTCTATCAGCAATATCTTTGACATGTAATTTTCCTCCACTTTGAAGCAAAATTTGCTGAAATCATAATAGCAGTACTTATCATATACAAGATTTCATTCATGAACATTTCCAAGAGCTCTGGTCACCTTTTTCAGCTTGAAACAACTGCAATGAATGAACCTACACATATTGAACTGCAGGAAATCAGTGAATGTCAGGTTCTCTAACTAATACTTTTGTTAAGTCTCTCTAACAGTTTCCCTATTTATCATAAATTGCGAGTTCTTCTAAACCCTTAACACATTCAATTCAGTATGTAAATTCTCTACACTGCTTTCCATTAATTTCTTAAGAAGCTGACAAGGAAAAAACCAGCTTCTTTAGCTGCTGATCATTTCCTTTATTCTCATGACCTTAATGTTTGATTGGTGGGTAATACTGTAAGGAGAAATTACATGTAGATGGTCACTGGTCACTTTCAACGGTCAAACAGTTAAAAATATGCTAAGACAGGTTGTAATAGAACCAAAATGCCTTACATGTTGAGGACTTTAATAAGACACCATCAAGTTTGTTTAGAATGTCTCAAACTCATTGATATGGGGTTGTGTTCACAAAGCTGGTAGTCAGCAGATGACAAAGAGTTAAAGAAAGAAGAGGGGGAGATTAACCCTTTCACTCCCAAGATCTCATTAGCAATTCTCCTTACTGTCTGTCATAAAATTCTTATGATGTTAGTTCTGAGAATTTGGTATTGAATCAATTAATAATCCCCTAACTGGTATTTTTCTCTATTCTCATCACATCTCTGTTTGATATTGTATTGATTTGGTCAGGAGAAATTTCGTCTTGGTCAATCATAGGAGTTAAAGGGTTAAGAACAAGATCCAATTCACAATTTCTAAAGTATTTATGCCATTAATAAAAGGTATAAATAAAAATGGTCAAAAAAGTTCCAAATTTGCTCACTTCAGATGCTCTCAACAGGGTTTTTTCCATTAATTCTGCCTTGGTGGATTCTGCAGCATCAGCACTATTCAAAGTGAAAAGTAACATTAGCTGCAAGTTCTCTTTAAATTGTACATCTTCAAGAAACGGTTCAAACACATTGTAAATACAATCTGTAGTTCCACTAACGTTATTTTCATCATGAAATCTACAACAAATTTACACAATGGACTGTGCCTCAGTCCATGGGCCTTTGATTAACTTGGGAAATGGGTGATACAATGGCACTAGCCTACAAAGCTTTCTGGACGAATGTAAGTGCTCGGTCGGAGCTCTTCTCTAAGATAATCGTGTTCAGCTTTTGACTGAAGTAAATTCTCTCAGAATAGTAAAGCAAAACCATCCTAGCTGTCATTAGCACTTCAGTAACTATGTACGATTACCGAACTCTTACGAACTCAACCTATTTATAGCCTGTAAATTGATGAGTGGATAAGACTGGGACCGCTTACTTTCGTATGTCTTCACCAGAAATGAACAGATGAACAAATATGACAAAAATTATAACTCGATTCCTCTGAATTTGAGATTTGCGGCTCGATTCATAAACTAACACATTCATAAAACACGAAAAACACAAGCATAACACTTTTTTAACTTACTATTCATTTTCTTCCCCTTCGGGTTGCTCGTCAATCTCTTCTGAAGTCATGCCAGAAGTTGAAAGGCCTGTATCAAGCGATGGAAACAGGGCCGAGGAGCCGATTTCTTCCGAACTAGCTGGAGACGGCGAAAACATATTCAAAGCGGTAGGCGATAACATCGTTGCGGGTGGTAGTGTAATGACATTTGTATCAACGAAAGTATTGTAAGAAACCGACAGTGATGATATATGATAACACCAGGAAAACACAGACGCTTAAGCCGCCATGTTTTGTTAAAGCCAGGCGTGGTTACCGAGGAAAAATGAGCGGAGACTGGGGATTATAAATTTGTTTAAAATTTATTTACTAATTTTACTTTTTTTTGTCTGTTTAGAGCGTTCTCATAAGAAATGGCCCTTTTCACGTACCATTCGCAACAGATTAGCATAACCAGGGTCTGATCTATTGCTACAAATCCTGCACTAGTATCGCCTAACTGGGGATTGAGGAGACAACACACTTTAAATCCAATCGCTGTGACGAGGGGCGAACGCTCGAAACGTCAGCCTTTAAACTTTTTACGGTGGCAAATTTACGTTTTCAACTCAGTTGATAACACTGAATTACACTTTAAATCAGTTGTTCACAGAAACAGAGGTGAGCCCGAAGGCTAAAGCCCCCCTACCCCACCCCCAAGAGGTCGTGTGGTACATGGCCCAAGTGAAACGTTAGCACAGTCATTTTCAGGATGTTTTACGAATTTAAAAGAATATCTAAGCAAGCAGAAGGGAAAATAAACGTTCAGAGTTTTTATTAAAAGGTAAAACAGAAAAGTAGAATTAAATGATTGAATATGTTCTCGGATCAAAACAGAAAACCCATGAGATAAATATACACTATAATTATTATTGTTTTTGGTCGAAATGATTTATTGTATTGTATCTTAACTTCACGTCTCGAGCTACACAAAAATATCATGGAGGTTCTTCCAGTCGCTGTCTTCCTTTCCTTCATATAAATGAAACAAACAGAACACTACGCGTATGATTTGTTCTAGAAGTTTTGTGCCAATATTGATATCACAGATGAATGGCAGGTTGATTTCACTGGATGGCAGGTTGATGAAAATCCATGGATATTATTTTTTGGTCAATCCTAACATATATCCAAAAGAGTTTTTTTTTAGTGAGGTGCTGTGCAATAAAGAATCAAAAATTCTCACGTAAACGAGGCATGACCCCCTAGAGAAAACACAAAGGAAATTCTTTCAAAACACTCAAATATGCGCATAACTAAAACGCTACAGTCAATTCGTGACCGAACAAGTTAACTCAAAGACTTTGGCTGTTAACTTAGAAACTCGCGGAGGTTTCCAAGATGAGGACAAAACCAGAGAGAACATTTCGTTTGATATCATTTCTCCTCCTCCTCCTCTTCTCCAGTGTTTACGCTAAAACTGCCGCAGGTAAGAAGACTGCTGAGAAATGAAACGAGTTGTTGCTTTGTGTCGACCGATTCAGTGACATGTAACTTCGCTGCGCTCTTGTATTTCTCCTTAAAATATTTATTCTTGTTATCCGTTGCTCAAAATGAATCATGCTGAAGTCTGCTAACTTGTTTAACAAAAATACTGTTAACAGGTACAAAAATTCCGACAATTTTAACAGCTTGCTGATTTATTTAATCATTAAGATAAATAGTATTTTTTTTCTGAAGTGGTGAACCATGTTGGCTTGTTGACTGGCTAACAAATTGACTGACTGATTGGCTGTTGGCAAGTCAAGCACCTGGTTAACAGATCGAGTTATTCACTCCCTTGGCTTTCCAGTCAGCTTATATCATGACATACGTTGTTGTTATTATTATTAGTTATGAACTTTATTTTCATTCATTTGCATTACGATCGTCTTTCCAATTTCACTATTTTAAAACAAATTTGTGTTCATTACCAAACGCACTTCGATTGTCCAATGAAGGTCATTTAAAACAATTTTTTCGAAAATTTCTATGGCATTTTTTCGCTAAGAATGTGAAGCTTATGACGTGAGTCAATAATAACAACTAACACCTCAAGTGGAACTAATCGGAAAATGTTTCGAGATTATTCCACCACATGTTAGCTGAGACCGCATGTTCTTTAAATGCTTCGAAGGAACAAAAGCAATCATTCAGTTCGATGAACAACTGCACGGTTGGAAGTCACACCTCTCTCTATGAGAATATTGTCTGTAGATTTAATTTTCATTATACCATACTTAAGTGTACGTTTAAAAATAATTGAATCTAACCATACCCATGAGAAATGACCTTTTTTAATTTAATTTGTGAGTGAGTCGAGTGTCGGTCGCCCTTTGCGCTCTCCTCGCTCATAGTTCATAACTTAAGATGCCTCTTTCTCTGCAACATTTGGCTGTAGTTTATTTCGAGTTAATGGATAAATGATCGAAAAAATGAGATCAAACAAATTTTCATACCTCTGCATTTTGGTGGCCAGGATTGCTTTACTGTTAAAGTAGTCAAGATCACAGATTTTCACTATGTTGAAGCTAGGAAAATGAAATATGTCTTTCTAAGAGTATATAAGCTGCCCTGTCCTCTTGCTCTCGACTCATTCACAAGTTCCAATGTGCCGAGAAGAAGAGGGAACCTGGGGACAAGGTTGTAGGGTTTGTGAGGTGTCTGGGAAAACTTTTCTTTCTTCTCTCTTTTACTTAAATGTTGTTATCATGCATTATTTCTTTTGTAGAGGAGGATCGAGACTTGATAATCCTTTTGGCAGCTGTAGCTTTGGCTGTTCTCGCTGTGGCTTTGATTATTCTTGTGGTCAGTTGCTGTTGTTTCTGGAAAATGTAAGTGAATTATTGGAAATTAAGGGCCGGTTAAAAATTTATCGCCTAAGAGGAGTGGGAGGGGAAGGGGGAGGATTGGTTCTTAGGAAGGCGCGATTGAATTTTCTGGACCAATCACAAAACATTTTGAAGCAAAACCAGTGAATGCAAATCGAGATCACTTTGCTTCCAGTCCTTAACTTCAAGTGTTTCTTTAATTACAGGTTAAAGAAGAGAGAGCGTGGCTATTAGTAGCCATAGAAATAACAAATCGGAACTCTACTGCCTCAAAAACTTTTTGCTTGTGTCTACCATAGATTATTATACGTGCTGATATTGTAAAGTATCTGCTCAATACGAAAGATTGTATAATACAACTTATTTTACTACAAACTGTATATTACAATACCATATATGGCGCAACTTTTTGATGCCATCATTGAATTGGAACTATATCTAGTTATGCTTTTTTAAGACTATCTTACACATCAAAATAGATCAGCCTCATCACTAGTGAAAAACTATTGCAGAACTAAAGAAGGATCGTAGAGATTGTTCATTTGCTGTAATGCTACAACGTTTAGGAGAAATTATTGCGTGAACTGCTCAATTGTAAAAAAAAGCAACTTTAACAATTTTGTGGATAGCAGGGCCGAGATTGAAAAATGCCGAGAGAAATGCCCCAGTAATGGTTGACCTCGATGAGTCCATTATTTTATCATAATGTACGCGAGAGAAGTCAACATCATGAGCACTATCAATTTACAGATGTTTTAATAAAATAGATTAAACTGAAAAACCTTGTTGGAAGTAAAGCAACCTTTCGACTAAGAGTACTTGAACGATAACAACAGAGCCGAAGAGTCAGCTATGAGGGGGTGATCTCGAGAGAGATCATAGCCTGCAAGGCATGAAAGGCGTAATTTTGGCGACTAGATGCTCACTATTTTCTCGGCATAAATCATAGCTGCCATCTTTGATTTTAACACCAGCGGTAGGCTGGTGAGAGAAAGAATTTGTACCCAGGTAGTGAGCGACGGACAAAAATAAAGAAAACAAAGTGACCAAACAAAAATAGAAGCAGAGCAAAAAAATACAAATAGAAAAACAAAACAAACAAAATAAACCAAAATTAACTGCATCCTGAAAGCCAAATAACAGTCAAAGCATTATGCAAGTAATGCAAGTCACCTACGGAAGGCAAGGTCCATTACGATTTTCCCTGTAACCACTCTCTCCAACTCCTTCGTAGTTAAACAGTGTTGGGTCACTTTTACCGGGTAGCTCTTACAAACTAATTCACCTACAAATTATAAAGACCCTCTGTTGCGAAAAAAAAAAGACCAAGGCCTTTCTTGTGAGAATGAGTTTAGGAGCATGGAACAGGTAAAAAAGATTCCTTTCTCGATGTCAAGGGTTTTTCTCTCACTCTAGCTTTGGGTATATAGAAAAAGGCCTTCCTGTTGCTTTTTAGGGAGTGGGTACTTACTAGGAAGTGGATCAGGGTGTTATGATTTCTAAGGACGCAGTATAATTATTAACTATTTAAACTCGAAGAGTGGTCAGCACCTAATTTTTCCCCACAGTAATACTGCTGAATCATTCATTAACCCTTTACACCCTAACATCAGTAGCCATACTCTCCATTCTGTTCTCAATACATTTCCTAAGGTGCTGACAAGGAGAATTTGTATAACAGTCAAGAGCTTCTTAATTGGTGAGCACTTCCTTTATTCTCATGACCTTAATGTTTGATTCAGGGATGATATTGTAAGGAGAAATTAGATGTCAGTCACTCTGAGGGGTTAAAGGGTTAAGTAGCTTGACAAATGATTTGTCTGACAATCAAAAGCTTGTTTGGTTGGTGATCATTTTCTTTTTTCTTGTGATCTTCATGTGTGATTTGGGGTTGATACTGAAAGGAGAAATTAGATGCTTGTCACTCTTGGGGGTTTAAGGGTCAAGGTCATGAGAACAAAGGAAATGATCGCCATCCTAAGAAGCTTTGCTTTTTAAACAAATTCTCCTTGTCAGTACCGAAGGAAATGTAAAGAAAAGAGTACGAAGAATATGGATACTGATGTCAGGGTGAACATATCCTAAAGGCTAACGCAACTTCTAAGAGAACTGTTCTTCCTCTCACCAACTGGTAACCGACAGTTACTTATTTCTTCCTAGGACAATTTATATCCACATACACCTTTGCTTAAAAGGATTAAAAATTTTCCTTTATTCATAAAACTTTAATAACTCTATAAAAATCCCTCCTACAAAATCACCGAAGCCATGTGAAACTTATGCAGCCGTAACAGCAATATATTAAATTACATGTTAAACTCAAATTTTTCGCTACAAACTCTACAAAACAAAAGTTTGTTCAAAATAGACTCTGCTAACACTAACTCTTGATCAATGTACTCATAGGAATATTCCAGTACTTAATTTCAGTAGAGCACTACCAGCCTCCTGCCTGTGTCGTTAAATTAAAACAAAATTAAAACAGAGTGTTTGTAAAACCTCAACAAACGCAAGGTATATGTATGCAATATTTTAATTTCTGTTTTTATTTAGTGGAATTTAAACTGTTATATTTTTTTTTTCTAATTGTCTTTTTTGTTTGATTTTTTTCTTAACTTTTTCTGGTAGTAAAGATTGGTTAAATATCAATTCTTTATAAATATGACATATAATTCCACACCTGTCAAATCATTGGTGTTTCCTATAAAAGTCCAGACCCAACAATACTTAACTGAGTCCATACCAAAACTGCTTTCAGAAATCAAGCCAAATTTCCGGTTGCAATTCAGAGATGACAACAATGTAAATATATATATTAATTTTCAGATTCTCATCTTGTCCAGAGAGTTTATAAAAAGCCTACAAAAATGGCTAAGAAATAGTAAAAAGGCCTGAGAACTTTAAATAAGAAAGGTTCAATATGAACAGTTTGAGGAAACTCACTGTATAATAAGCATAGCGCAGGCAAAAAATTGGATGAACGTGATTAAAAATGTCTTGAAGAATTGCTGTTTTGTGTTGCGAAGTGACTGTGCTTTACTTTTGAGAATTCGCATGAACGCAGAACTAAAAACGGTATTAAATAAGTGCAAGTGGCACCACCAGGATCAAAATTTGGAAAAAAGAGCCCTCTAGTATTTTAAACAATTTTTTTTCCAAAACAATTTTGCGATTTACGATGTGGAGTCCACTACATGCTTACAAAAAAAACTGTTTTTTCTCCTTTGTGTTGAGCCTGGAGGAAGTTTCATCTTAAATATAGGATATTTAACGAAAATCACTGAACTCTTAACTAATCTAATAATTTGCTAATCCACTTAACGTTTTTTTTTTTCTTTGTGCAACTTATGCTTCTGAGAAATAAATAAATATGATCGGCTTACGTATTCCTTTTTCAAATAATAATTTTTAAACGTCTTTTGCCGAGTGGCTGCTTTGCCGAGTCCAAGAGTGTTGTCGCACGAATGACGGAAGCGGTACCATATTGCGTGACTCATCTTTCGTGACACAAGAAGTTTGTGGGAGTGACACGTGAATGGTGCTCAAATACAATGAACGTTAACCGGGAAGTTCTTGACCTCGTAGTACAAGATGGAACACACAGGCAGAAATTATCTGCTATCTTTAGCGTTAAAGGGAGAGGGTTCTGGGCGCCATTTTGAATCAAACCATTTTCTTCGTTCTCAAACCTGAGAGACCTTCTCTACCACAACTAAGACTTCTTTTGGCGGCTGCAGCGGCGAAAACGACAAAAGGCTTGCCATGCTCGCACGCATGCTTGTTCTCTTTGGCATATCCCAGTACCGATTTAGGTAAGATTGGCTCGCTGTAAGATGCAAGTTACTATTCAGTTTGTTGCACGAGCCGAGACTGGCTTTTGTGGAAGTTGTAGGAAGAGAGTCTGGTGAACGGATACCATCCAGCGGTTGCTCTTCGCTGCTACCTTCGTAACTTTCTTTGGGCATGAGGACTGGCACGAGAAATAACAAACACGTTGCAACAGTGGAGCAGGCGCCAGCAACGTAAAAGGCGATCTGATAGGACTTCGCGAGATCGTAAATAACGCCTGGGATAAAAAATACGATTAAGAATAAATAATCTTAAAAAGGACATTAGAAACTCTCTTAAAAAAAGCACCTACATTTAAGCGAAAGTTTTGTCCCGTCGAAAACAAATGTGCCTGTAACTTTTGTATCGACAACCTTCATTTAATCCTGGTAAATTGTTTTAGTCCCGCTTTGAGAGTTACCCGCTGAGAACAAAGAGTGAAGGCGCAAATTAAATCAGTGGCCATGCGTTCAGCGGGAATTACTTAAGATCTTCTGCAGATGAGAACGGGTCCAAAAGTAACTTAAGAGTGAGATGATGGGATTAATTACCTGCTAAAGGAGGACCAGCAATAGACGTTATGGCCATGAAGAAGAATTGAATGCCAATTCCAGCAGCAACCTTGTCCACTCCGACAATGTCCGCGCAAAGAACAGCCAAAAAGACTACAAAACAACCATCAAACACACCAAAGACTAACATGTACACAACCAGGCCGGCGTAAGATTTGGTCAGCGTACTCAACGTATCGGCAACCCCAATGAGTAGCATCGCCATCTGGAAACAGTATAGTCGGTTCACTCTCGGGTGATCTCCGAGTTTTCCGAAAAGAAGCCGACCAAAAGTCGAGCCTACTGACATCATGCCAACCAGCGTGGAAGACTGCGAGTTTGGTATACCACATTCTTCGGCGTACGCCGGCTGTGCGAGTAAGAAAGATAAATCAGTGTTTAATGATGGATTCTCAAGACTGACTAATGAGCAGACATCTCCTTGCTTCATCCCCAAATTAAACAAAAAGTAAAAAAAAAAAAAAAAAAAAAAAAAAAAAAAAGGCAACTGCTCTCGTTTGCTAAGTTAACCAAAACAGTGGACCAGAATCTCCCACTTTCTCGCAAGAGAATGTTAACCCCTTACACCCTAACATCAGTGTGCATATTCTCCATACTGTTCTCTATACAATGTCTAGGATGCTGACAAAGAGAATTTGTTTTACAATCAAGACCTTCTTTAGATCATTTCCTGTATTCTCGCGACCTTGATGTTTGACTCAGGGGTGATATTGTGAGCAGAAATTAAGTGTTTCTTACTCCTTGGAGTTTAAGGGTTCACAAAAGATGTAGAAAATGGCAGCCTGCAGACACTGCGTCCTGCCAAAGTCAAGTTGGCATTCACAAGGTTAACCTCCTGAATGTGGAGAAAGTGATAAAACACAGAGGAAAAATATCTTCCAAAACCAAGGGAAGATAAAGGGCTGGGGCGGATCAAGTCCATGCCCGCGGTTATGCAAATTTGTCGTGAAAGACAGGTGCGTATAGCGTGCACAATACATTTCCTACGCATTTGACTTACCAAATGCACAAAAGGAACAAAATATCCCATCATAAATGCGCTCAAAGCTATGCACCAGACCAAGAAGGCTTTGTTCTTGAAGACAGTAAAGTCAAACAAAGGCGGTCTTGAGGGTTTGACGGCTTCTTCTGCTTTCTCATCCTTATGCTCAGTTTGACTGGGAACTCTGTAAAGCAGAGAACCGATGGTACATATACACAAAACTCCACCGAGCACCCTTGCCGCATTAGCCCATCCTAGATTGTTCACGACGAGCTGCATGATGGGACCCATAGCAATCGTACCTACGCCACTCCCGGCCGTAACAATTCCATTTGCCAGACTTATGCGCCTGAAAGAAAAGTATGAACAAAAGTATTTCAAAACAACTTTAAGAGCATTAAATTTCTATTAATTACGTATATTCAGTTGATAGATAATCGGCCAAAGTTTAGCCGATTATCTATCAACTGAAAAATGGTGTTTGGCCGCCGACCATCATCGATGAAAGAAAGTAGTTCTCATAAATTTTAATAATTTACCTTTCAAACCAATACGGAAGCGACCGAAGGGTTGGCAAATAGCTCATGCTCGCACCAATCCCCCACAGGACTCCAAACGTCAGGTAAAGTTTAGGAATGTCGTTGACAAACGAGGATAACACAAATCCCAGCACTCCTAGCAAACCACCAACGAATGCTACTACCCGACAACCAACGCGTTCACAGAAAGCTGACGTCACTGGCGCAAAGAGAAACATCATGCCCAAGCCGATTGAAAGAACCCACGCTGCAAAATAATAATAACAATAAAAAAGAAGTGAATTAAAATTGGCAAATTTCACAGGGCTCCTTATGGAACAAAGGGCATTAAAAATAATAAATCGAACAGCTTGTGCAAATGAAAATTAGTTTTTGTTCCACCAAATTCGTTGTTTGTGTGGTCACTCAACAATTTTAAAGGGGGCGTGACGTCTGAATATCAGACTGCCGACCGATGGATAATTTTATTTCATTCCCAGTAATAAAAAGTTCAAAAATATTTTATAAGTATCTAATAACGCAAAAAGAATATGAGTATGTTTCATTTTAGGTTTAACTAAGAAACCGTAAACTAGATCTTTCTTTACAAAAGCAAGCACTATTCCTGGTGCATTTTAGCCTACGTGTACCCACACCCTCCCCCCACCAAGGAAAATCGGAAGGATGGGGGGGGGGGAGGGTACAGTTACACGGCTACACCGGGGCTAGGTGCATTTCCATTGGTAGCGCAGGCGATTACGTGCATCGTGAGTGAGAGAAGAGCGGAAAGTGATGTGAATCATTGAAAGTGTTTGTTTATTTCTTTCCCGACGTGGTTTCCAAATCAAGGAGATTCACATTGCTACACGATCACGAAATTTTATATAAAATTCATGACGCAAATTTATTTTTTCCTTTGGTTTCAACTTCTTGATTCGATAATGGCAAAGATTTTAACATATCCCACACAAAACAAGTAAGGTAAAATGTGGATTTAAGCGCTAGGAAAGTACCTTCGAATTTCGTACGTGCTCAAATTCCCTCATAAGACTACGAGGGGAGTTGCTTTGTAAACAACCCTCGTTTACCTCTAAGGAAATTCATGACTTATTCAATCAACGAATTTCGCTTGTCTCTACGGAAATTTATGACTAGTCCAATCAACGAATCTCGTACGTGCTCAAATTTCCTAATTAGACGACCAGGGGAGTTGCTTTGTAAACAATCCTCGCTTGTTTCTACGGAAATTCATGACAGAATCAAAACATCAAAACGGAACTCTCGAGAAAGAAAATGGATTGAAAGCAATTTAAGATTAAGAAACAGCAAATTGCGTGGCTTTAACCACTAATGACGAGAAGATTAGAGGCGACAACGGACTGGTTTGAAGTGGTCACGGATAAAGTTTGCCTCACGAGATTAAAAACAAATCCCTAAGAAGCTTTTTCATGGTTACTAAGGAAATCTTGAGAGTCAAGGGAAATGTATCGACTGAAATATGCGAATAGATTGCTGGAGTTCCTCACACACGAAATAAATAAGAATAAAGAAACATCATTATGTATATTCGCTATACTGTTCTCTATACATTTCTGTGGGCACCAGCTAAGAGAATTTGGTCAACGATCAGGAGCTTCTTTAGCTTTGGATCATCTCCTTGATTTTCAAGACATCAATGTCAACTCAGTGGGAACAGTGTTAGGAGAAATTAGATACTAGTCATTCTTAGGGCGGAGTAAGGCTTGAGGTAACGATGATTGACAAGGATTACAAAATGATAGTAGGAGGTTAATTCTGTTTCGAGCCTAGTGATGCATGCAGCCGGAGTTAATCCCGGTTTCCACAGCATAAAACTACAAGAGTGTGGCTTTGTCCTCCTTAATGAATGCCAGTCCACCGTAGGTTGCTGTAGTTAGTTTTACTGTTTTAAAACTACTGTAATCAATTTGTCATTAAAAGTTTTACTATTCTAACGCGCTATAGCCAATGCTACTGCTGAAAGATATGAAATCTTGCTGAGATAAGGCCGCAATAGCTGATGAAACAAAAGCTTTTCGGTTCACATGTGTGAAAGGGCTTCCTTAGGCGTCACTCAACGCATCAGTACAAACTCGACGGAGGGTATGCCACTCAAGTTTTCTCATTCTCTTTTTTCTTGTAAGGATATCTTACATTAAAGGCACCGTTTTCCGGTACAACTTATTAGAAGCGCTCTGTTAAGATTACTTCCCTCCTTCGCGGGTGTCCTTCGGGGTAAAAATTCGTACGCGCGCTAGTTTCACTAAAATCCTAGCAAACTATACGTCGGAGGAAAGCTTACTAACGGTAATTTACGATTAAGATAAAATTTAAGCGACTTTTCCTTTAAGGAAGAGTCAGGGGCCGGTTAGGCGTGAAAAGACCGAGGGTTCTTCTTCTGAAGGGTATCAGATGCCGCAGCACGAGCAAAACTGGCTGAACAGTCTTATTCACAAGGCATCAATCAATTAATCAGGCTTTTTCGATATTCTGATTGGTTATCTAGATATCGGCATCTAAAGTTGCAGTAGCTAAAAACATGCGAGACGTGTTGCGTAAATGGACACCACGGGACGAATATTTCAAATAACAAAATTTCCCGACACACTTTCGTTTTTCATTATTCCTAGAATGTTTCGGCGGAATTTGAAGAAAATCGGTTAAATCTATAAACCCTATAAATTCGCTCAAAGTGGTTGTATTCTTCCCAAAATCAAGTGCGAGATTTTAGCTCATAAAGGTTCGCAATCAACTCACGCCACGCCAGGAGATTATCTCGCCTCCTAAAACCGCAAACCAATGGGACAACGGAACTTCCTGGTGTCAATGACGATGGCTCAAGATTTCCAGGGTAAAGTAATTACCCCATTGCAGTAACTCTCGATCGCTCCGTGGAGCGTTGAGGAGGACGACACAATAATAGGCAAAGTTGCCAAAGAAGGAAAAAACCGCGCCAAAAATGGAAAAACCAGAAATGTGTTATCAGATCGACAGACATATTTAAAAATTACGATTTGTAACGAGCCCCAAGATGAGCGGTTGCCGCGAAAAATCCTCTTGTGGATTCCTGATTTATTAACTCTTATTTGAAAATACGTTTTCCCAAATAACTCGGGCGCTTTTAAAGATATTAGAAAATATTTTTATAAAAACGTCAGTTTAGTCAAGTAAAAGAAAAAATTGATTTCTTTGGCCTCTGAAGGTGGGAAGTAACCTTAAATGTCAAGACGCTTTATCACAAGTTATTATTTTTTTTAAAATATCGTCCGATCCTCTCGCAAGTTAAACCTCAAAATCCCAGACGTGACAGCAATAAATCGTTCAGCTGACAGGCTAAGATTTGAGAGGAGTGCTGTAGTTTGTTATTTTGGTCAAAAGCTGAATTCTCCTAACCGATCTTGGCAAATATACCCCTGCCCCGCCTCCAACGCTTGCTGGATTATGTTCAACCATAGGGTACCCATACGAACAGCGTGATTGATGAGACAGAAAAAGCTGCTAAGATACTTCGGAGCTGAGTTCGTCTCGCGCTCGAGAAATATACACAAAAATGAAGAGAGCTTCCTTTTCAAGAGTTAATCCGCCTGCTTAAACAGACCAATCTTGTTTTTGATATTCATAAATACTCTGCACTCACCCGAAACGCAAAACAAAACAAGATTGATTGATTGGAGCATGCAATTGACTTTGGAGCTTGCGGAAAAACAAATATTTCGACATGTGTTCTAACATAACATCATTACGAAGTCTCCTGCAAAAAGCGGCAAGGTTACACTGGAAAATAACAGCTACACATAAGCAAGTTTCTAGAATTTATATTGCATGAGTGGCTTGTCTATATAAATACATCTGTTGTTCTGACAAATGACAAATGCATCTTAAGGTACAAATGTACATTAAGTGGTCCTACGTTGCCATTGGCTGAAGGAACAAAGCTTTATAAGATTTCTTTAAAAAGCGCAAGTTGCAAAGATATCGTTGCATCATCGCAAGTGCAAAGAACATTTTGCGGGCTCTAAGAAACTTGGATTACTGAGAATAATTTAGCTTTAGAATAACCGATCGTTAACTTTGCTAAAAACATAAGCCAAATGTTGTCAAAAACTGTCAAGATTTGCATTTGATAATAAAACCTGGAGTTGTTATTGTTACATGCAAATCAGGGGCTGTTTTCGACTCTCGACGCGTGCAGGTTATATAACAAACCAAAACCCACACTTTAAACCAAAATCCGAAAATGTGAAGGTGTAAAACCAGGGAACAGAATTATTTCCTAACAGACCGAGAAATTATTTTATTCTGTGGCCAATACGCAAGAAATGGGAAAAAGCACCAGCCAAGATAGTGAATGTTGTTAACAGTGCTTTGTTTTGAAGTCCGATATGCAAAGTTATATCTGGCCTTGTGAGAAGGTCAGAGAAAACAGGTATTAAGGACTTAACAAAACCGTATTTACCTCTAACAGAAAATCGCAAATAAACGATGTTTTAGGTCAAAAAGGGACTCCCCTCTTATTCATAGCAAGGGTAGAAGTTGTTCTGCAGTGCGTTATACAACAGCGAGCCGACAACGCAAATTGTACAAAAATAGATAATTCACAGTGTTTTGATAGCTCAAAAGACCCGTGAGCGTTATTCATATCTGCAGGAATCGGAAACTGCAGATTAGATGTCGCAAGAACGAAAGGAGTATATAGAAAGCGTAAAATGGTGCAGACGTAACCAGCAATCACAACGAGCTCTCACAATATTTTTTGCAACTGGAATGGGCAAAAATTTCAACCTTTCTTCAGCCCTCGGCAGAGACTCAATTAAAATTTGCATAACGCTAACCTTGGCTTTGCTTTGCAAATTCACTTCCGGTAATTATTCGCTCTCAAGTTTGTTAACAAACGCAACTTTTTTTACCACATAATCTCTCTCTCCTTTCGTATCGTCCTTGAACCACTAGCGATTTGACAAGCAGGAAAAATCAAATACGGTCCCATTAGAGTACTGGATAATCTAATCAACAGCAGATGGCTAAATTTCTGACATCGAATCATTGCGCGTAAGATTTTCGCTCTCGATCGCAACTCAACTCTGCCGATGACAGCTAATACCGCAAGATGCCATCTCCTTCTATTCACAACGGATAGTTTAAATTTCGGATATATTTAAACTGTTAAGGAGAAACACCACGGATGGCGTTGTTGATTCAAAGCAAAGAAATTATTGGCCGGTTTGACGTAACCGGTAATTTCGCGGTTCCTTCCAAAAAAAATTCGTCCAGTGTCGCAAATAATTTTTCCTCTTCAGCGAAATCGCATCAGCGTAGAAAGATGGGGTAAAATCCGGCGAATTTAAGACGAAGGAACTGACCACACATCTAATTTTCAACTTTTTTTTGCTATTTATATAAACCAGTCCCCTACCACAATTCAGATGACATTTCGAACGGAACAAGAGCTCTCAACAGCGTGTTCATAACGATAAGAGACTTACCGATCGTTTAAAGATTGAGGATTGAAGTCATATTAAACATAATTGCCACACTGTACCTGTTTCTCCTTTGCTTTGCTTGAATTCCTCTAACAGTGCCTTGTAAAGAATGCCGGTGTTGTTCTGTATCCCCAACACGACGAACTGAGCGATGAAACCGGCAAGACAAACGCTCCATCCCCAACCGCCATCCGGTACGGATTGGACCTGTATTTGCACTTGAACTTTTTCGATTTCTTTGCTTTCTTTCGTATTCTTTCCCATGATGTCGGTTTATCGTAAAGTTCCTTTAAAAGAGAGCTTCAAGACCTGACGATGTGATGTTGTTCACCGCTCTCCCACAGCAAGCACCTTTCCCCAACCGACCAAATATCAGGTAGAGCAAAATTTTTTCTTAGCGCTAAGCATATGGAAACCCTAGATAACATATGACGTAAAGAACACCCAGCGTTAGAAACACCCTGCCATTGGCTAAAAATATGGTATGATCAATTGACGAATGACAGGCCAGCTCTATTGTTTGAAATAACATTCGCCCTTCTCGAGAACGACGCTCATGAGTTTTTCATGTGACCGTAGGTAAATACAGTGTGACATGTAATTTCGCATCTTTGGCTTGTTACTTTCTTGCTCACTGTGGATTCACAAAAAATTCTGGTGGGCTTCGCATGCAAACAGTACCTGCTCTGACAGGCTTTGCTTGTGACGTAAACAACACAGCGCTTCAGTTGGCGCTGCCCTTAAGCTATGAAAGAAATAAACAAGTATAATTTTAAAAAAGCCTGGGCTTCTTGTATAATGCAAACCCATGTATGTTACATGGAGGCCTAGATATAGAACGCGGAGAGGCGAAAGTTCCAGAATAGCTATCTCCTGACTGGGGTTTTCCCCTAATCGCGGGCGGACTATTCTGGATCATGATGTAAAAAAAAAAAAAAAGAAAGAAAAAAAAAAACCTTCTTCGTAATAAGATCCCTTAGGCAATAAATTATTCATAGAGTCTGTCACGAAATGAAATCAGTCAGCGAAAAAAGCAACTCTCCCTGATTCGTGAAAACCTTTTTCGGCATAATGCCCTCAAAAACTTTCAACCCATCCCTGATTTTCCGTTCGAGCTTTTCTTCGAGCTGCATCATCGAAGAAATTCTATTCGAAAAAATTATGCTTTGAATGTGCAATTGAAATATTGTGGGTTGTATTTCCGCATAGTTCGAGTAAGTGCAGTTTTACATTAACGCCAATAATCACTACTAATTCAGCGAGGGCGGTATATTGCTTCAGCCTTATATCATGATCAAGAACAATAAATCTTTAATTTTGAATTAAAAAATTAGGAGAAAAACGTTCCTTTTAGAGGAAAGAAAAAGATGAAAAGGGATAAAGTTTGGCCTTATCGGGGTTAACGTATACATGAACACGTTCCCCAAAATAAAACGCCGGAGGAAAAATAATTCACAACATTTTAAAATAAAATCAGTTCTCGCGATCGTAAAATTCAATTGAAAGTTGAATCATTATCGAGAACAATAATTCTTAAATTTTTGAATAAAAAATGAATTGACAGGAAAACGATCTATGCCAGAAATTCCACCTTTATAGGAGTTAAATAAATAAGAAACCCTCGTATTTCGTCAATTCTGGATTGATGTATTTCCGTATCAACACGTTCTGAAAAATTTAACGTTTGGGGGGAAAGAATTCATCTTAATAAAAAGTAAAATTAGCTTTCGTGACCGCCATAAAATTAACTGTTTCTTGCATCATGCATCAGAAGAGCACGTGGGCAGATACGGAAATTCAACATTTATCGGAAGACGGCACGCGTCTCAACTTGCTCCACCAGACCTCCCAAAGTTTATCGGCAGAAATTTAACCTTTGAAACCCAGCTAATGATGCAACTTTTATTTCACATAATGACTTCGTTCGAATGGACGGAAATCAAACAAACGCAGCTTTATTTTTCCCCGAATGTTCACGTGATATGTAATTTACGCTGAGTAATACTTTTTTTCTAATCTCGGTTAAAATTGGACTGACTTTGATAAATGAATAATTTCGAGGAGAGCGTAAAAAGGGTATTTAGAGTGCTTTCGTGATTATTGGAAGAGATATATATTGAAATCACGTAAGAAATCGTCGCTTTTAGTTTCTCTAATTTGGAGAGAAAATTAATATCAAAATTATTCCAGTACAAAGGTTAACACCGAATTTTAAAACCGACAGAGAAAGCAGAAGACAAAATTCAAAGTCAGTTCTCATTATATTGATTCAATATCGGATAATGTTTTCCAAAAACTGAAAGAAAAAAAAATCAAATGGGCCAGCAGTTTCCTGGAAACCTTCGGGTTGTTTACATGCATTTAATCTCAAGAACACGTTTATCGCTCAATCTTCCTCAGCAGAAAAAACAAGGTGGACTTTGCGTGCACGAAAACATAGTGATATAGGCGACTTCTAGGTCGGTTTGACATGGTAATCGACAAGTCCTGGAGGAATAAATTAAAAAGGGCATTTTATAGGGCTAACATAGGAAATATGAGAAGCTGAAAGTTTGATTATCATCGTTTCGTAACCACTGTCGTTTCGTACTTAGCGAGGTCGAACCCAGTCAGCTGAGTCGTTTTGTATCTATACAAAGGGTGTTTTCCATGATTAAAAGAAGGAAAGAATAAATGAAGAAACGATAATAACCGAATTTATTACCGTCGATAACAAAGGAAGAAAAAAATTACATTTACACTGGCTGCTATTGTTAAGAAAAGTCATAAATATAAACGATAGATTATTCAACCGGGGAGGGGGTACATTTGATCGTGTAATCTGATCATCCGGATGAGGGTAGTCCTTACAGGGACTATCGTCGGTGGTGGTGACTGACGTTTGAGCAACGTAGGGGAAAGTCATCATCACAGTTGGGTTGGACTTAGTAATCCTACAACTAAAACAATAAGTAGACCACAGCAATATCTCTATTCGTTTATTCTCATTTAAGAATGCCCAGATACTTAAAGTTTTCGTGTTGTTATTAACCCTTCAACTCCCAGAAGCGATTGACATGCAAACTTCTCCCATTAATATTCTTACATAATCCTGCAAACAGATAATGAGAATACCCATATTTATCAGCTAAAATTTGTTATCTTGATCTAGCACCAAATTCCCGTTACTAAATTTTAAGGAAATCTGTAACAGATAGAGGGGAGAATCAACAATCAGATCTTGGGAGTTAAAGGTTTTAATTCCACCTCATATTCCGTTCCGTCATGATGAGACCTCGATGAGATCATTTTCAAACATTCGGAAATTTTAATGCTGCTGACTAAAAAACCGCAGTTATTTAATGACGTATGGCGTACCATAGTCAGAATTAAAACAAACTTTTCAGTCAAGAATAAATTAATCACCAATACGTAAACACTACGATTTGTTGCCAGAAAATGGATACGAGATAGAGCATTAGAAGCTACAAGTAGAAAGCTAGTAGACTACGAGCCGTCCCTTCTTTCCGGCAAAGTCCGTCAAGCGAGTCAGAAAAAAAAGTGGAAAAAATGGCCTCAGCGCGTCCTGCGGAACTCTGTGAGTGAGGCGCATGACTTTTCGCACCGCAAAGCAGGGACTACTCGGAAACAGCGGTCACAATAAGCTAAACTGGGGGATGAATAGATAAATAAATAAAGAGAAACCTAGAACTTGACTAAAAATGCCTAGAAACTGCACAAATGATGAAAAAAATAACTTAACAAATATCTTTAAACCTAGAAATATATTAATTTTTTCATGCTATGTATGTATATGACAAACACTTCCGCAAAGAGAAATCATTAAAGAAGTTGAATGCAGTGGCGAAAAATGAACTCTCGTTGATATGAGTATTTTTGCATCCCCGTCTGAGCCATTCCAAACATATCTCTATCCCTTTGCCTCCCTAAAGAGATGAACATGTATCTTCTCCTTGCAATATGTATACATTTAAACAAGCAAACAGGTTATGGGAATTGAAAAACTATCAGCTGATGCGAATTATCTCAACATAGGCCAAGATTTTCTGGACTGGCATTGGTGAAATTGTGTAAAACTTCAATGGAAGAAACCTGATCAGATTATTGGGGTTCTCTTAGGACTGGACCAAATATGTTACACGCAATTTTTCATTTGTCGGAAAAAAACCCATTTTGGAAAGAGCAGAGTGCTCGGCTATCTTCCTAGAAAATCTGGCTTGGAATTTTAGAGAAGGCCATCATGTAAACTGCAGAACAGGTTAAGTAAACGAACGAGAAACCATAACTGCAGGCTAAACAATTTCACTAGGAGACGCAGTGGACTCCGGGTCGAGAGGTCTGGGTTCGAGACCTGGCCGGTTCACCGTGTTGTGTTCTTGGGCACAACACTTTCCTATTAAAGTGCCTCTCTCCACCCAGGAGTATAAATGGGTACTGGCTAACTGTTGGGGAAGCCTTATGAAATGCTGAGGGATAATCTTGCGATGGATGAGGTTATTACGAAGGAAAAAGAAAAAGAAAACAATTTGCACACAACTTCATTTCGAAAGTGAGCGTTTTTGAATCTCCAAAGCGGTGCATGAGACACATCCAGACAACGCTGATTTTTTCCTTTTTCTCCATTCAATCCGTGTACCTCCCTTTTCATGCAAAACTCAAAACGTTTGATACTCATATCATTTCTAAAAATTCATCGCAAGAATTTTCCCTTTTTCGTTCTTGAAGTCTAGTACAGCTACCTGATGACTCGATGCCTTCCACTGTCACGTGTATTTCTGTAGAATATATTCTGTGTTTGTTTTCAAGTCCGCTATTCGTCTGTCCAGAATTCGTTCCAGTTCTTTTTCCCGCCGATTTTCCTCCGCCAAGAAATCCGATGTAATAGAGGATCGCCTGGCACCAACCGGGGTGGCCGCACGCTGAGGGAAAAAGATGACAGGCGAACAATAAAAAAATAGAATGAGCTGAATTTTGTATGCAGGACTCGTACGTTATCATGCCTTGATGGCCACGAGAAGTGATCGACATGAAAATTCACAGATTCAAATTCAACATCCATAGAATCTAGCAAAACGTTTGGAGGAATAGACGAACTCGTTAGTTAGAAGGCATTACCCTGATAAAACATTAAATTCCCCTAACTTATTTACAGGGAAATAACTATCAGTCTGGGGTAGAATTACAAAACATATCTTAACAGTTAATTGAAGGATTAAAAAACAGCCTGAATAAATTTTCTAGCAATCATTTAAGAATAACCACAGAATAAAGGAAGGTGGCCAGAATAAAAAGCATGCTGAATTTTTAAATAAACTATCCTTTACGAAAAAATAAAAACCGTTTACAATTTTCACTCTCTGTTTAATTCCCATAATTCATTTTTCTTTAAATACCTCGGTATCTGAAGGACCTGGGCCTGCAGTCAGGTCAGCGTACGTCAACGCTTCGGTGTCTGTGTAACCGCTTGTGGTGCTAGTGTGACTTAAATCAACGGGCCTTCTAGGGACATATTCAGGGAGGACCTTGCTGGTTGAGGACATTAAAGGATGTGGTACACCTGAAAGGATTGAATTAAGGACCATTCACAAGTGCCAAACAAATCTTAAAGATGAACTGAGAGTAGAAACTAGAGGAAGAGAGGATAAGCAGTAAGCACATGGGTTATTTCTACACTTTTTTCCCAAGGAAGCAAAGCCAATAGCACAGGACGACATAAGCAACAAAACGTGCCTTCATAAATCAAGCAAAGGTTTTCAACATAATGAAGTTTATTTGAAAAGAAATCGTTACCACTGTCTCGATGCTCCGATGCCTCACTTTTCAGTCGTTCGTTTTCCATTTGCAAACTGTGTAGTTGCGTTTCATATTTTCTTATCGTAGCTTCAAGGCGACCCTCTAAAGATGCCACTTTACGCTCAGACTCTGACCGCAGCTCGCTATGGCGTCTGTTAGAAAGGAAAATGGAGTTACTATAAACTTGGCACTTTCTGGCAAACCGACTATCTGATTAGCTACATAGCAAATGAGACACTTAAGTGAAAAGACTACAATTGTGCGATGTTCATCTTTTCGTCGTCATGTCACCTCGTCTGCTCTTACTTACCCCTTTCTCGCACAAACAAACCAAGTCTTGTTACAAAAAGAGCAGCATTGTTTCGAGAGACAATTCTAACCACGAAGATTACGAGTTAGCGTGACTGAGAGAAGCGAATTTATGCGGCGTGATTTTTTCCTTTCTGCAGGAACTTATCTGTGCGGGTTGCAACATCCGCAAAAAAAAAAACCCGCAAAATTTCATGCTACACACCGTTTCCTTTCAACCAATGACCTTACTCAGCACATGCTATTACTCTTACCACAGAAAGTCTTCCTCACCTGAACTCGTTATCCTTGATGTCCGCCAGTACATCTTGATTCTTTTTCAAAGCGTTCCGATACTTGTCTTGATATTTAGCCTCCAAAGTTGTTAGCTCTTCGCGGAGCGTGGCTACCTCTGTACGTAAGTTTCTGTTATCGTCCTAAACACAAAAACGGAAGAGAAGAGTAGCCACGGATGTTTCAATGGTCTACGCTCGGTGTATTTGGACGAGATACAGGGAAACTGGTTTGAGTTAACGTTGATTAATTAAGATAAAACCAAATTATCTCACCTCAAGTTGGCCAATGAGCTGCAGATTGCCACTGTAAAGGTCAGACAAATCCTATAACAACCAAATGCAACGATCGCATCATACGGTTTGAATATTTGAATAAGCGTATATTACACGAGCCTACATTTAATAAATGACAATTCAGAGAAAGGATTTAAAGAAATTATCCGGTTTACATGTAAGAAAACATTGTTGACTCACCGTTAACTGATCATTAAGTGCAGTGTCGCGCAAATGTCTGTTTTCAATTCGCAAAGCTTCTAGCTGCGCGTTCGTAACCTAAGAAATACAGAAGAAATGTTGATGAAAGCCCGTATTTTGAATGAAATGGCGAAGCAAACGAACGGTTGCATAACAGAAATGATTTCGAAGTAGTATGTTGCGATTAGAGTCTATCCCACTCCACTGGCTTTCGTGGGCACGCACTCCACGTGCACTCCACGTGCACACCAAAAACACGCTAATGCACAAGGCTTACCTGTAGTTCAGCAGCTGCTCTGTCGTGTTTAGCTGCGGTTTCTCGAAGATCTTTTTCCATTCGTTGAGCCCGTTCCGTAATGGATGCCATTGCAGAGTCCCTAAGAATAAACAAATTGACATAAACCACAAGAAGGCTGCGAGGCATCTGCAAGAAGGATATTTTATTTCAGGGGCGGCAAAACACGTTGGTCATCATCATCGTTGTTGGAAAGCCATGCATTTGGGAAGCGGGGAGAGGAGAGTTATGCAAGATATTACCAAAAATGAGTGCGGGCTTGGGGGGCAGGGAAATCGGGGCACTTCACTATCACATTACTGGCCTACGAGATTGTATTATTATTATTTATTAATCTAATTAACTTTTTATTGGCAAAGTGGAAGGTAAACAACGGTAGCCTTCCAAACCCCCGCCCCCCCCCCATTCTGTTGTTACGCCCTTCCGTTGTTGGACCTTTTCCCACGAATAATAAATAAAATTCATCTTAAGAAACTGAAATCTGTGAAGCAAAATTTAAAAAAAAGAAAGTTTTCTCCTTGATATACCTATGACTGTACGCGCGTGCTATTTGTAATTTGCACTTTTGGTAGAACTTTGCACTTGTTTTACATGAAAAACGCACTCGTTTTCAGCCAATCAGAAGCGCACAATTTTTTCCAGGTTAATTATTACTACAAAAACGAACGACGGAATTGAGAAGAAATCAATACAAGCAAAAGGTACCTTTTATGGAGTTCAGCAGTCATGTTGGCAATCTGTTCCTTCATTCCCTCCACTTCAGCCTGATGACCGTCGTCTCCTGATGAAATTCTCTCTTTCAGCTGAAGATTGTATTAAGTATTTCTCGTGAGTTACAATCAGCCAGAACTTTCGTTATTTGACTAATTCGATAACAAAGAAACCGAAATGGGAAAGGGCCTACTCAGTATTTTCGTTTTCTAGAGCAGATCAAGCGATTTTGTTATCTGACAACTCCAACTCGCGGTTTGTTTTACAAACTTACAGAAAGACTTCTAGAAGCCCTTGTGTCATTCAGTTGGTTTAAATTGGTTTTGATGTTGGAATAACGCTGCCAAACGGGAGAATTTTCATTGTTTACTTCTCTAGAGCTCGTCAGTAAAGAAAACAAGACAATACAATTGAAATGAGTTAAAGTTTCAAACTGTCAAACTAAACTCCGCCACTTTAGGGTTTTTTTTTTGGAAAGCCGCCTTCTTATCGAAATAATTTCCTCTTCGATGACCGTAGGGAGGTTAGAAGCAAAGTTATTTCAATCTTTTCAGTACCAGTTAAAACTTATCAGTTGTATTACGAGCAATCCCTCATTTTTTGCGAAGTCTGTCTCGCGAGTCAATTGTTAATTTGTTAATTGATGTCCGCGTGTTGCGTAAAGCCCTGGAAGTGAGGCGCATCAAAAGTAGCCTCGGCGCGGGGCAGTGCGCTAACCTAATTTTTTTTCGCTGATTATTTTTGGACGCGCTCACGCAACGGATGTAGCCGAAAGAAGGTTCTCATAAGCTACCAATTAGTTACTATTCACGTCTAAGAAACTTTGCTGCTGCGTCGGTGGGGTTTACAAGATAATCTGGTTTTATTAACTGAGTTGATAAAGTAAATTGGCCACCGTTAGCCTTTCACTATTCCCTTGATCCGACGAAGGACAAACGATCGCAATGTCAGCTTTAGAAGCTCTTTACGGTGACCAATTTACATCATCAGCTCAGCTGATAAAACTAAATTATCTTGTGTACACACTAGTTTTGTTAAGTGCCTGGTTGTCATACCTTTGAATTTTCCAAAAGGAGCTGTTTTACGTCATTGTCCTGAATGAATTTCACCTCTTCTTGCTACAAGTTTAAAAGAAAGCATCCGTATTAACCCCTTACCCTCTGACATCAGTATGCATATTCTCCATACTGTTCTCTATACATTTCCTAATGTGCTGAAAAGGGGAATTTGTTTCATAATGAGTAATTTCTTCCGTCGGTGATCATTTCCTTGTGTGATTTAAGGTTGATATTAAATGGAGAATTTAGACTCCAGACAATCTAAGAGTTCAAAGGTGTTAATGAATCGCTTTTTAACCTCTCCAGATTTCTTTAGCAAGACATCCAACTCATCGACTCAAAGACCTATCCCAAAACATGACACAGAAGTAAACATAAATTACAGCGTCAAAAGAATCCCGTACCTTCCTGCAGAGTTCAGCTTGTAGCTTTGAAATTTCATTCTTGCTATCTTCCAGTCTGGTTAAAAGAAACATACGTAGTTCTTACATAAATACTGACAGAAAAGTAAGAAGAAACGTAAGTTTGCCTTTTTTTGTAACCTTACTTTTGATTAAGGTGACTCAGCTCATCCTTCTGATATTGACCGGCGTCAAGATGCGACCTGAGATCAGTGTTAAACAAAAAACAATTTTAAGATAAATTTTAAAAACTGCAAAGTCAGAGTGTATACTGTAAAATACCACTTATAAGCCTCCCACTCATAACTCCCCTTTTATGCCCCCCACTTATAAGCCCCCCCTTTATGTCCCCACTTAAAAGCCCCCACCCCCCACACCCCCTTATAAGCCCCCTCTAATTTTTCGTGTTTTGAGAGATAGGAACTCTGCTGTGAGTTAGACATCAAACTTTTGATAAAGGGAGAGCAAAAATTAACTTCAAGGGAAGAGTCTGAACTTCCGCTTTGCTACGTTCCACTGTTGCTCGTGTTATTAGTTTTAATTCTATTCCAAATAAATTGAAATTAATTTGATTTGTTGTGACGTTTTAAAGCGTGGTCAAAAACCAGTAATCTGCACTTTTGTAGCTCGTTTCGAAGCCCTTTTTCTGGTCCACTTGTAATATAAGTGAAACAATCGAATAAGGCGTATGTATTGAAAGTCAACAGACGTTCACTTACTGTATTTCCATCCTGCTTGTTCTGAGATCTTCCTTCAGTCTCCTCACCTCAATATTTTCTGTTCGCTTGCCCACCTCTTCAAGTTGTCTGAAAGTCAATGAAAACAAAACTTACTCAAAGACTTTCAACACTGTAATGGCATGACATTTCCCATCAGAAAGAAACGCAAAGAATCTGTTGGTGTTTACCAACTATATTAGCTATCAACATCACTGGTTCGGGCTGCACAAATAATGTTGCTAAAAATACAAAATGAGACGTCAATGTCCATGCGAGTCATTCTCGATTTACTTCAAATGGTATTTGCCAAAAAAAATTATCTAAGTTTTGAAAAAGGCAGGAGACATTTGATACATAACAATTTCTCTGAGTTTATGCACTTGACGTTGCAAGGGAAATTTGGTACAGCAGCGGAGAGTGTGAAAAGTTGTGGACTGTCTCCGATTGGCTGCATGTAGTTCTGAACATGCGATAGCTCAAAATTGAGTTGGGCATATGCCACTCTGCAAAATACCATAAACTTGTCTATCAGTATAAATCTATTCGCGCACTCTCGCGAATCTGATCAGCTACGCAACTCGGTACCAATTCCCTGATAGACAGTGAGTAGCCTAAAAATATGCAATCTTAAACAAAACTAAACACGAAAACAAGAGTGTCTTGTTTTTGAGTTTTCAGCTTTTAAAAGATTCATCTTAATACTCTCTCTCAATAATTTCTATGCATGATAGTTGGAAGGGGCGAAGATATCGATATCTCATAAACTACGTTTTAGATTAGCGGGTTTCTTGCTCATCCTGCATATCAATAAAAGTATCAGTGACTGCGTTTCTCTGGAGCAATGAGCTATGTCCTTTCTCGAAACTATTTCTGTAGAATTATACCTGATGATCTCATCTTTCATTATCAAACTCTCTTCCATTTTAGACATGTCCTCTGAGTGCTGCCTTTGGTCGTCCTCTGCTGCCTGAAGTCGAGGAAAAAAAATAGGTCTGCAATACGTACATAAACAAATCGACTACTAACAACTTCGTCTCCTTTTAACCGAAAGACAAAGACCGTGGCGCAAGGCAAGAGGAATCGGCTTACGTAAAATTCCCTGCACCGCATTTACTATCGACTTGCCTACTCAACCTTCTGTAAGCAGTAATAATAATAATAATAATAATAATAATAATAGTAGTTGTAATACAATAATAAATAAAAAATAAAAACCTACTCTTATGAGATCATCTCTTGATTGTAGTTCTAACCGTAGATGGGCATTTTCTTCCTCAAGACGCTGTGAGAGAAATAAAAATACGAAAAAAAAAAAGATAGAACGGAATTCATTTCTCATATGTACGTGGCGCATAAAGTAAAACGGGAAATATTGATTAAAGACGTTTGGAAGACCAAGGCTTAACCTTTAATTTTAGATTTTTTAGTTATTTCTCCCCTCAAGCCCCAATGCCTTTCCTGTGAATGAGTACTGAGTATTTAGTCATCTATTAAACCGACGCTTCTAAGCTCTCAAGCCTGACTCTTCATAAAACCTGTTCTTCTGGATAATATGTTAATATTAAAAGAAGGAGTTGAAAGAAGGTAAACACCATGCAGCTGGGAAATAATACTACCTGAAGAGATGATCGTGTCTTCCTGAGTTCGTCTTGCACCTTGGCAATATCAGAGGCTTGCTCTCTATTGGATGCAAGAGCTTCCTCCAATGAACTCTTCAACCTGACAAGGAAATAAAAAAATTTGCTTCAAGTTGTTGGAAGTGACTCCCGCGAAGGGTGGGGGAGGGGAGAGGGGAACGGGGGGGGGGGGGGGGTGAAGAATCACTAACAGATAGCACAGAGAGTAAACTTACTGCTGAACAGTATCCTCAGAATCGTCACATTCACCTTTAGCACGTCCAAGCTAAAATCAAACAGCAGTACAAATTCATGTACACATCTCTATTTCATGTACACGCATATGCGTGCGGTGAATGACAAAAAGATAATTAAAATACACGCATTTGCGTGTGTACCTCTGTAGGCGTGTAATTTTTTTACCACACGCGCGTAACTACACGCGCTTTCAATTCTCACGAATTACACGCGTTTTACGCCCGTGGGGTTGCTGCAGTACACGCGAGAGGTACTGTACATGCGAAAATTTACTCTACCGGAAGTACACACCACTAAAGCATCTCAGCCAATAAGTTCTGAAGAACATATCAGTAAAGATTCTTTTGAGAAAAACTCCTTGTTGAGTCTTCACCAATCTACTCTTAACATGAATTCAAATGCAGAAGATAAACAGTTTACATGACATACCTGGGAATGCAGCGCAGCCATCTCTTGTTGATGGTCACGCTCAAGGTCTTCCATCATCTGTCTTCTCTTGTTCAGCTGTGCTTGGTATCCTAGTAACTGTTGCTAAAGTATTCATTGAACATATGCATAAAAATCATTAAAGAAATGAAGATGAAGGCGATCTTCGCAGTAATGAACACTACTTAAGCAAAAGTGAAAATAAGGCCTGAATTTTTACGAGATTTGAACCCATGGCCTCTGCGATACGGATGCAGTGCTCTACCAACTGAGCTAACAAGCCACCTGTTGACTAGTAATAATTGGTAGTGCAATGCACTGGTATCGCTGAGGTCGTGAGTTTAAATCCCGTACAGACCTGAGTTTTTTTCAGGCCTTATTTTTATTAATGCTCAAGTAGAGTTCATTACGGCGAAGATCGCTTTCGTATTCATTTCTTAAAAACCGCAGTTCACATATGTGATTTTCATGTATTCACAGTCAATCGTAAAGAGGAAACGTCATCTAAAAAAAATTCACAAAACAATTTTTTTTAAAATTATGTCATCAACTTATACATCGACATGATAATTCATATCCACGGTAGTAAACAGTGGTTGAAAAAGACTTATCTCAATTAAAATTGTATGACATTTACGGTAACCCTATTGAGACTAATTTTCCTGCCCGTCAGTGCACTAAATACCATTCAATTGAACTGGATTACAGGGTGTTGAGGGTAGGCCCCCCCTTCCTTTTTGTTACCCTCGATAATGTGGTACACAAATTCACACCTGCATCAAATCACTCTTCTCGATCAAAGCTTTCTTCTGACTCTCCAGCCCTCGGATGCGATCATCTCTTGCTTTCTTTCCACCTTCCAACTCATGCATCTCGGCTCTGTATTCCTACAGTTTGTAACGCACACTACTATTATGTGTTTTCCCGTAGCTGGCCTTATAGCAACGTCTACAAACAGCATTAAAATGTATGGAAAGCCATAACGATGAACAGGGGTAAATCACAATTTTTCCCTACAGTGGGAAATTTTATCTGTAGTCAAAAACATAAGGATATCTTTCTATAGGTCTACAATCGGCAACAAAATCGTTGACACATTCAACCCCTATTGATTCAATTTTATCTCTTTTGCCCTTCTTAAGTTAACCTATTTCCCGCCCCTCTCCCCCCCCCCCAAAAACAATGTTGTATCGTGATTCCTGAACCTTAAGCTACATACAGGCAACATTGAATGGGTAGTGGGCATACTTATGGTCACTAAGGCTTTCAATACAGGATTTTTGGAAACAGGAGAACATTAGGACAAGGAAGAAAATCTCATCCAGTATTTCTTTCCATCAATTTCCAAGGGTTATTTAATATTCAACAATACCTCTAATCTTTCCTCCAGTTTATCCATTTCAGAATCTCTGGACTTCAGATCAGCTAAAAGCTATTACACATAAAGTAAATATAAAGTTATGTTACTAACGGCTTAGCAACTAACATTCAGGCATTTATCTAGTTTTAAAAAATTTATGGAACTCAAGTTAATAGGGGCCAAATCTACAAATACACCTGTAATTGCATAGTGAACTAAAACTATTGATTGAGGACAACATTTCAATGTCCTCTTGTCACACTAGTTAAACTTTTTGACCTCTTAGAGTGACTAGCATCTAATTTCTCCTTATAATATCACCCCTGACTCACACATTAGGGTCATGAGAGTTTAGGAAATGATTGCCAACTAAAAGAGCCCTTGATTTCTAAACAAGTTCTCCTTGTCAACACCTTAGGAAATGTTTAGAGAACAACAGAATGGAGAACATGCATACTGTACTGAGGGTGTAATGGGTTTAAGAGTGAAAATTTCTGAAGATTTATATTCTCACATGATAGATTCTCTTACTTCTCCTAGTTTTATATGGACTGTCTACCCATAGGGATACACAGAGCCAAGCTATGTCACAGACTTCACTGTAAACTATACCTGGTCTCTCTCCTTTTCAACATGCAAAGTTTGTTTGTTGCTCTTCTTTTGAAGTTTTTCGTGTTCATATTTCAGATTGTCAACCTGATAAAACAATTGGTAAAATTACAGTAAGCTACAAATAAAACCCAAATGTTACTAAAAAATTAAAGGTGCCTCATATAATCAAAAGTAATGTAGAGTTTCAATCTTTTAAAATAAAAAAAACTTGAGGGGGGCTTAGATCGGAAGGGGGGGGGGGGTTGGGTGGTTCGGGGAAAGGGCTTAAAATATGATTCTTTTATGTTGACAAGTAGATGGGCCTATAACAGGAGGGGGCTTCTGCGCTTCTGCATACTGCAATTGGAAGGGGGGGGGGAGATGAAGGGGGGCTTATGAGCAGCAGTTTACAGAACCCAAGAACTAACCTCCTGTCAGTAAAGGCAGTATCACAGTGAGTAGTGTGGTGCAAACTTTCCTTCCTGGATGAGACCGAGGCAAGTTTTAAGGAATAAAAAACTCCCAGCTGATACACCTATGGTAGTTTTCAGGGTTTATATTCTCCTTACTACTTTGTGACCTTAACTTTTTAACCCCAAGGAGCGACTGGCTTCTTATTTCTCCTTATAATATCACCCTTAAATCAAATGTATAGGTCATACTTGAAAGGAAAAGATCACTAATCTAAGAAGCTCCAGATTGTCAAACAAATTCTCCTTGCTATTACCACAGGAAATGTAGAGAGCTCAGTGTGGGGAATATGAATACCAATGTTAGAGTGTAAAAGTCAACAGAAGTTTAATTTCTAATAGTGCTCTTCAAGGAGTGGGGCTAGGATTTTTGAAATTTGCTTTCGCCACTAAAATTATAAAGTTTGTATTTTGTTGACTTGAAAAACATTTAGATCACGTCAAATAGGGATGGTCACAGACACACCAGGACCCCTCTGGCTGACTACACAGGTGCCCTTGGCATTCACCTACCTCTTGCTTGAGATGCATAACATGTTCTTCATACTCAGCCACCAGATCTCTTTGAGTTATGTCCATTTCATCCACTTTCTGTTGAAGCCCACCAATCTGTTTGTCAAAATCCACAAATGTATGGTCAACATTAAATTTTAACTTCCAGAAGTGATGAACTAATTTATGCATAATTTCTGCTGTGATTATAGAGATGCACGCACTCTGATTGGTTAAGGATCGTGTTCTGAAGGTAATTATAGCAGGGGCACTAAATTTCAAAATGGCTGCCTTGCATTTTGTCAATTTTACGCAGAAAATTATAAATGCAATAGTACAAAAATACAAATCTGAAGAGTACAAAAGATGCTACTAAGTTTGGAGTAAAACTTTTCAAAAGATATGAAGTTTTTGCAGATTGAATTGAATAAACCTGTGAAATTCTAGTGGAAAATGGCTGCTTATCTCAATACAAGGAATCAAAACAACTGTAACAGAATGGTTTAGACAACAACAACAACAACATTTATTTAAACATGATAAAAAATTACAGCTGAGCTGATCTGGTGGTGTATTTAAAAGTTAAAACATAGTTTACAAGCAATAAAAAAGCTTAAAAACTAATTAAAATTTAAAAAGATCTAACCTATTTTAAAAAATACATAACATATCTGTAAACTAATCTATTTGCATTAAGTTCTGCACTTAAGAAAATTTTTAAATGAGCTTTTGCTTGAGATTGCACACGTATAACAAAAAAAGGAATTTACAACAGAATTGGAATTTACAAAAAAAATTGAAAGCACCTGTGAATGGGCAATTGTTAAAAAACAATTATTTGCCTCAGGCTCCTTATTAATAATCCCCTCAACTTTGTATTGGAGATTATTCAACAATATTCACTTCACCTTCAGCAAAAATTGTTAAATATCAATACATTATGAATTTTGAGATGAACGAAACTCTCTTACAGGAAGCCTGACCCCTTAAAATCTATCACAATGATTACCAGAGACAGGTGAGTTTTATATACACTCAGAGAAAAATGCTAGGTCCTATGATCTAAAAAAAAAATTTAAATGGTAGATGTACTGTAGTTGTATGCTTTTTGCTTGCACCTTCATCACAAATGAAGTATTTTGATAAAAGAAGAAAATAATCAATATAACACACTGACCTCCTGACACTTCTGCTCCAATTGGACTTTAACAAATTCCACCTCTTTGGTTTTCTTGTCCAGTTGTATTTGAACAGCATGCACATGAGTTTCCCATTCTGCTTTCTTGGCAGATACCATTAGATCAATTTGCCGCATTAACTGAAAACAAAGCAAAGTATATGATGGCATCATCATCATTGTCAATGGGGAAAAAAAATGGCCTGTGTAGATCATCTTTCAGGATATATCTCATGTTTGATTTCATAAGATATACATGTTGCGGTTCAAATTTTTTCAAAGTTTAAACTTCTCAAATCATTTTGATTGTTAGTTTCCTTTGTCCTGCAAAATAATATGATAAAAAGGAAATGAAAACTTTCAAGCTAGTAAAATTTGAACAACACATGTATGGTATACAACACACACATGATTTGAACTTTCATGTCTTCTCTTAAAAGATACTTGAAAAAAATAATATTAAAGCAATAAATTTGAATCCTTGAAATGCCCAAGTTTGAAAATATCTAACCTATAACCTGCATTATATAATGAATTAGTTATTCTTTTGCAGATTAAAACTGTAGTGGTTTTTTTCGAGAAGACCTCCATCATAGTTACAGCAAGCAATCTCACTCTATTTTGAAAGAATTCTTCCATAAAAAACTTCTTGAATGAAAATATCTGGTACATCTGCATATGCATACAATTTGATGGACTTTCATTGTATGTAACTGCTTCCCATAGGTGAAAGCATTTTACCTGTAGTGTCTTTGAGGGCATCTCTGGGTAAGTGAGATTTAAGAGTTCATGGAAACCAAGTACATGTACTTTGTAGAACAATGTTTAGTACTGTAATCAATATTAATGATTACAAAGGTTTTCTTTCATTATGTAAATAGGAAACTGTTAATTGACAAAGCCACAAGCATAATCTCAAACACTCTGTTATTACATTTTGCTTGTCATAAATTTATTTCATGACACTATGATTATACCAATAGAGACTCGATTGCTAGTTTGTGTAATTTAAAATCTTCTAGTTTTTTCAAAAAATTTACTTGTTCTCATATTTTAGTGATTCTACTGACAATTAGTATTTTGATTACAATACTTAACTTTATTTAAAGTGTGCTGTTTATAAGAGAAAAAGTACCCCAAAGAAACTAAAAATTGTGGTTGTAAGTAAAAGTTTACAAAGAAAATGTGGAATTTAAAAAACAATACATATTACTATGCTGTATATTTCCTTTTCAGTACATCCAACCACCAAACTTAAAGATATTGTCCATAGTGGAGCTTTTGAAGCTTTGTGCTGAGAATATCAAATAATTGGCAAAGTATACACATCACATGTACATGCATCTCTGTACATTGTTGTATGAATTGAAAAATATTGAAACAATTCAAAAAGCTGTGAAGCAAATTATAAAGCTGTGAAAAACATCTAATAATATTTTATAAATAGTGTTAAAAAATGTTTTTAACAGCATTATTACTAATAATCACTCTTTATGATGATTGCTTCTTACCTCTCGCAGTTCTTCCTCACATGACGTCAGAGAACCTTTTCTGATCAAGCTAAACAAGAACAAACAAGACAGGGTTAAATAAACTTTTTTTTTATAAAAGATGGACCCATTTTGTCTAGTAATATATATATATATGAAAAAATGTTTAAAACAACCTCAATAGATTCCTTGTGTAATTAAATTACCAAACAGATTTTTTGTTGCTATCTGTCTGTTCAGTAATAGGTCACAGACAACAACAAAATGTGGTCAGGGCAAAAAAGTGGCAAATGAGTTGCAGCCAGGTGTGTCACTTGATATACAGTCATGTTCCTTCTGCATTTTGACATCTCTTGTAATCTAATACTGTACAGACCCACAGCAACAGGCAATCAACAGTTGTTGCTAACAGTGATGTGATCTATGTGTCTGTCCTCTATTAGATCATCAGAACCAATCAAAAGGCATGTATAATGCAGCTAGTCAGTAATTACAAAAGTGTACATTAATTATAGCTGTTTCTCTCTAATATGACCCTTTCACCCCCAGGAGTAATCCAAAACTGATTTCTCCCTTCATTTCTCAATAAATTAACAGGCACAAACTAAGGCAACAGGACAAGTAAAAATTATCATCAAGCTAAAACATATCATTTCACTTAACAAAAAATTCAAAGAGCTGAAATGATAAAAAATATATGGCAGACAATAAAGAGAATTGATATTTACAAGACGATTTGGGAGTGAAAGGGAAGAGAAAGAATCAGTGGGTATTGCAAGTCAGGGCAAGCTCTTAAGAACTGTAAAGTTTTGTATAAATATCTCTTTCAAATAAATTCATTTTCACAATTTACTCTGACTGACTGGTATTTCTGATAACAGTAAAAGCATACCGATCTGGAAAGATATAAAAAATATTCATGATGATCATAGATGATATCATATAGTAAGCAATTTAAAACCAACAACACTGTCTGTTAATTATCACACTGTTGTTAAACCAGACTTTCGTCAAAAAATGTAGTAAGAGTACAAGGAAACAAGCTGTAAAGTGAAAGGAAGAAGAAAAGAAGAGAAAATTACTCACAAACCAAAATTAACCCAGAGATTTTTGTGTAGAAGGAACAGAATTCTCTAATTTGCAATGCCTATCAGACACCTTCTAGATATGGAAAAATGGAATTCAAGTTAAAATCATCTCACCAATTTTATTTGCATATTTTTTGTGAAAAAGATTCTGGTTTTAAAGATGAAACAAGGAAAATGAAAGAAAAAAACTTCTTTGACATCATTTTGTTCTGAAATTCATTTGAACCTTCACCAGATAAATTGTGTTTCTTAACAGTTTAGCACAAGCTGCATTGTTCTTCTTAATGAGGCAAATAAATTATTCATAGATTCAATAAAGAATAATACTGGGAACAAAACATTAAAACACCTGGCTCAACCAAAATTGATGGACTAGACCTTAAGAAAGAAACTTTCAAGCAAGAATTTACAATTTCATTTTCTTCACAAATACGGCTAACAGAATTATGTTATCTCCATCAAAAGTATCAAAAGATGCAAGCTGCCGATCACCACGTCGTCCTCGGAAGAGGCTCCTAAGCTATGAAATTCAATCAGATGAGAGTCAAACCAAGCAACAGTGGTCAGATGGGGTAAGTTGTACACTGTAATTTTAACAATCTTTCCCCAATGAGAAAAATTAGAGTCATTGTTTGATTGAATTATGTACACTGAATACAGAAATACAGCTTAGGTATAAAATAATGCACAAATGTATGTAATCCAAGTGGTGCATTGTAAATGCACTTTATTCATTAGGCTTTCACAGCATTAACTGCATGTTACTCTTCATCCTGTTACATCTTCAATAGCTAGATTTCTGTAGTTTCAAGCCTTCATCCCTGGTGAAAATCTTTCAAGGATCTTTAAGGATCTTTCAAGATCTTCATGAGGACCTTTGAGGATCCTCTTGAGGATCTTCATGAGGATCTTCAAAATTCTTGTTAAGATCTTCAAGGATCCTTCATTTTCTTGCCAAGATCTTCAAGGATCTTTGATTTTCTTGCCAAGATCTTCAAGGATCTTTGATTTTCTTGCCAAGATCTTCAAGGATCTTTGATTTTTCCTCAGGGTCTGATAATTTATCAGTGTTAAATATATAATAGCTAGACAGTATGTAATAGTCAACTGTATCTACAGACCCTGAGGGTAAAACACACAACAGTATACATACTGATAAACCCAAGGCTTATGTAATATACAAATGTTAGTAGCTCATTATGCAAGAACACTTTACACCATTTAACTTTATCAAGTAAGATGAGAACATGATCACAATTGTTGCTGACCCAGGGCTTAGATTGTTTCTATGTAAAAGGCAATGTCTCTAATCTCTAGGGTGACCACTTAATAAGGTTCCACAGAAAAGGATTATATATAAATTTTTAATAATGTCAAGTTTTGATGTATTTACAAAACCTTACTTAAACAGAATTACTACTAAAATTTATTTTGGGTGATAAACATCAGTTGAATTTTACTGTTATCTTTTTTAAAAGATTATTCTTAGCTTTATTTGAGTGGTTGCTCTTCAAATGAGTGTTCAATACAGTTAGCAAATGGTGACTATGACCTCTCAATAGATGTGGCTGCTTTAAATAGAGTTGAAAATCATAGTGATGAAGCCGAAAAAATTTCTGGACTTTGACAACTGACTGCATAACACAGAGTGACCCCTTAATACAGAGCCCCTGAATTTAGGTTTGACTGTCGTAAAATTCCACCCTGAAAATATCATGTTTCTGAGTTGACAGTCTTGCGTAGATTTGAATTCAATTATTTTTAATCTGCTCTTAAATATCCAACAAAGCAAAGGCTGATAAATATATATTTGGTTGCATAAAACACAAGATTAAGTATTTACAAAAGGATATAATGTCTTAAATACCAAATTTGACTGAGTTAAACTAAAAAATTTGACAAAAACTTAGAAAGGTAACAACTTTGACCAAATGGAAAATTTGATGAAATTGTTTACAACAGTCTCACAAATTTCTCACAAGCATGTCTAAGATTCTGGCAGTGGGAATAGCTAGAAAAGGGGAAACATAACAGATCTGTGATTTTTTTTTAAAGCATACAATTGAGGCATTTCGGAACTTAAGTGATATTCTGGGGCTTTTCTTCATAACCAATACAAATTTCTCTGAAGTTTTTTTCTGTACTATTGTTGAACTCTTTAACCCCCTAAGAATGACTAGCATCTAATTTCTCCTTACACTATCACCACTGAATCACACATTAATGTCATGAGAATAAAAGAAATGATCACCAGCTAAAGAAACTCTTGATTGTTAAACAAATTCTCCTTGTCAGCACCTTACTATATGTACAGAGAACAGTATGGAGAATATGAATACTGATATTAGGGTGTAAAGGGTAAATGACACACTATTGGCAGTCCACCAGCGACTCTCACTGGTGACTTAGGATGATACATGCAACTTTCTTAGGTCAAACTGACACAATTTATACAAATTGTATCAAGGAAAAATTACAAAATTAACAGTTTTTATTTTTGTCAAAATGGTCAGGGTTTAACTCTCTACATCCTAACATTCATATGCAAATTCTCCATACTGTTCTATACATTTCCTTATGTGCTAACAAGGAGAATTTGTTTAACAGTCAAAGCTGCTTTAGTAGGTGATAATTTCCTCTATTCCTGTGACCTTCATGTTTGATTCATAGGAGGTATTGTATAGAGAAATAACATGCTGGTGAATCTTAGGGGTTAAAGAGTTAAGGCATTGACCCTAACATTCTAGAGAAATAAAGGTATCCACATGTATTTAACGAATAGACTCCATGTAGCTGTCCGTCTCTCTAGTAATCATCAGATAACATCAAAATGTGGTAAGAATCAAAAAGTGGCACTTAGGGCACAGTTAAGTGAGTCACTGATGCTCTTACTAAAACTTTTACACGACTAACCTATATGACAAAGTACACATCAACATTCCACGGATATGAATAAGTAAAACAAGCGGAAGTCCCTACGATGCATGAAATGTAAACAAACATTGTTTCCCTTTAAAATTATTCAATTTCAAAACTTCAGCAACTGTAAACAAGCAAGAGAGGTACAAGTATAGTACCATCACGTGCAAATCCTTTTTGGAGGGAAACCATAGCTTATAATTACCTTTCAGAGAATATGTCTGTGAACGTCTCCATGTCAACAAGGCTTCGCGATTTCTGAAGATTTCGTCTTTTTCTAATTTTCATTCATTGTGGCCTCTGGATTAAGATCCATTCTAGTCAATCGACACCAGCGGATTGTCTGAGCTTCCTGCAAATCAGACAAAATTGATCCGAAATCGACTTTTCAAATTACTATCCGTTTTCCACTTGATCGAGCTTTGAAGACCACTCTTCGGTCTACGACTCGAGCATGACACTCTCTTGTTGAGATATCGAAGCATTAATCAATGTGCAAATGTTTCTATGATAGTTTCTGGCCAGTTTGTTCCATTTTTCCCGAAAAAAAGACGAAATCTGTACGACTTATTCCACTACCAAACGATCTACAAACTGTCAATTCAAAGAAAGCGCGTCTATCGAAAAGGCAACCAGGCCTTCTATTTAATTGCCAGGTTGCTTGGAATCACAACAGAATATGGCGTCCCCAAAATTAAATCAAATGGTTTGTTTTGTCTTTTTTCTTTTAGGGTATTCATGTTTTTCTTAATCTTTTGTATCAATTGCAGATAATTTTAATGTTAACCTTTATTTTTCCAAGACTAGGTATGGTAATAATGGGCATGCTTTTTGAAGGTGCGAAGCGATACTTTCCAACAATTGACTTTAAATTTGTTTTTGTTTAATCAAGGAGAAAAAGAGATTGCAAGGATTTCTAAACGAGATGTTGAGAGTTGGATGTTTGAAGGTACAAAAGGATTGTCTTGAGGCCGTTCCTGATTGTATTTTATTTGAATATAAACAGTGCGATGAATGCTTACTCTTATAATTTGTAATTAATTTAACTCGAGATCCTTGGTCTCGCATGTGTTTGTTTCGTTCCACTTTCTAGGGTTTCAAATATTTCGCTCTCTATCTACGAGGTCGAGAAGAGTTAATATGCAGAGTCCTAAATGAACCTATGGTGAGATACTTATGTTTTCAAAGAGACTTGTCAATCTCGACAATGTAATGATATGTTGCAATGTGGAAATTATTTTGAAACATGAATATCCCCAGTCATCATGACTCGAATCGACCAGCTCTCTAGGCATTATTTTATGTTGGCACATGATATCCTTTAGAGATAAGCCTCCAGGGAGACGAGAAAAATCTTGCCTTTTGACAAGCTTTCTATCTTATTGAGTGGCCTTAAAAACTTAGAGGGTGGGTCTTAAAAAAATTAGAAAGTGAGGGGGGGGGGGGAAGAGATTGCAGAATGGGACCCTTCTGCACCTTTGACTCCTGCATTCCATCCCATATTAGTTCAGACTGCTAATACACATGATGAAATAATTTTTATGCAATCTTTGTTTTTTTCCCATTATCTTCACTGTCCTCTCATCGTCTGATCCCCCCGCTGCCTATTCTCCCCATGATCCAAGTCCATTGTTCTCTTCCACTTAAAAGCTGACAAAAGTTCTTGAAGTTAACCTAAAACTGTATGTTATATTAATGTTCTCAATTGGCAAAAAGTCATTCAGGGGAATAATATTAATAATATACGAGGTAATTAAAAGTGCAAAATAGAAGACTATGTCTTTTGTCTTGCTTACTCCTTTTGAGTATTTTTATTTTGGTCATTTAGAACCTCAATGCTGATCAATTTTATTTTTGCTGTCAACTTCTTTAAGTCTCCAGAAATCTGGTCATACTATACTTCACCTTCTTCTGAAAAGACGAGAAAAGGAACGCTAAGTTTTACATTTGACGACCAGGCCAGTTTACCAAGGAATGAGTAAGTATCCAAGGTTAGGATGATGCTATAATATTTGTGATTCGATTAAGATTTGTTCGCCTTCTTCTGAAAAGATGAGAAAAGGAACTCTAAGTTTTAAATTTGACAACCAGACCAGCTTACCAAGGAATGAGTAAGTATCAAAGTTTATTGTGCTGTAATATTTGTGATTTTATTAAGTTTTGTTTGAAAATATGGATCATCTTTGTTGAATGAGAGACTGAATAAATCTCTTGAATAAAATTGAATTTTTTAAAATTTTAAAGACTTAATTTTTTGAAATCTATTCTCCAAGTCAGACATTCCATTCTTCTTTATAGACAATCCTTAATCATGTCTGCAAACACTCAAAAAAGGTAACAAAAGCTCATTAATTCACTCTTTGCTTTTTTTGCAACAGTTCTAGATGTACCTCTTAATTAAATATCTTTCAAATTTCAAAATTTATTCTAGATAACACTCAGATGCTTAAAAAATTTATTGCTCATTCTAGGAATATTAATTTAAATTAACTTAAACTAACCTTTAGCTCTGCTAAATGATTCCCTCTTCTAACTATTTAGAATAACCTTCTAAATTGCTTATTGTACAAGAGCATATTAAACTATTGCTTAATGGGCAAGTACATGTTTAGTTTTGTGAAATGAGATTACACCCTTTAGCTGGAAGTTGTTTGTATATAGTTTGTCAAATTCACCTGTTTTCTCCGTCATATATAGAGGTTCAAGATACAAAAAAACTTCTCTCAGTTACGATAAATCAATTTTTGAGTCTCACAATAATCAGTCTCACTAATATATAATTATACCAATCAGCAGGACTCAGTTGTTCAAAGGCTGATTAACATTAACCCAGGGTTAAATTTTAATTTGGGTTTCTTTATCCCTTTGTTCCAAAGCCTTCCTCGTATAATTTTCTTCATTCTTTAAAGGGTATCCAATCATCACTTTGCAGACTAAATAAATTGTACTTAATCTTTTTTCAAAGCTTTCAGATCTGAAATCAGATTTCATACAAACCCTTGGTTATCTTAACCCAGCTTTGAACAATGTGTCCCAGACTGTCAGACTCTATGTACAAATAACATGTTAGTTTGAGTGCATGACTTGTGCAAGTTTTGCTTTGGCAGCCTACAAATAACAATAATGTCATTTCTGTTGCTCTTTGTATAGTTTAAGTGGATATGGTTTCATGGATATTGGTTTACCACCAGCAAGTCCTAGTGAAAAAGATATTGATTTAAAGGTATATGGTATATTAATATACTTCAACATATATTACAAGACAAAGAAGTGATCTTGTGAGTTAAAGGGTCAATGTCCAAAACACCTTTTCCACCTTTTAACTGGCTGTCATGAAAGCTAGCTAGGCAAATGGTTAGGTTATCTCAGTCTAAAGTCACATTAGAAAAATATCACCTGAATATTTGCCTAACTTTCGTCAAGTTAATAAGAATCAAATTAATGGTTGATAGGGTGTACATTTAGATTTTTAATGGTTAAAAGTCAGTTATCAGCATTGCAAATGACAAACTGGAATGTCATTCTACCACAAGAATCCAGTATAAAGAATGAAATAATTAATAACCTCTTCGTTGAAGGATCAGATACTTAATTATCAATTAGGATTAATTTACATGAAGTACCTTTTTATTATTATTTTAGGATGACAAATCAACCTTATTCCTTATTGCTGCTTATGCTCGGTACAGCTGTCCATATGTGTGGGTGAGTGGAGGCTTACAAATGTCAAACTACAGTATTGTTTGTTTGGTTTGTTTTCTTTCTAAGATTCTTTCTATTTCTGAGTGAGTTAAACTTTCAAGTTTGCAAATATCACTCTTGTAGGCTTCAAATCAACTAAAGAAATACGAAAAACAAAGTTAGACATCACATTCATATTTCTGAACACATTTACTCCATTTTGATTTGTTTGAAAACCCTTAAGTATTGTATCTTTTATAGAGGCCATTCAAAATTCACAACAATATTGGCCATTTAACTTTAAAGACAACCACATATAGAAGCAGAAAATGGTAAGCCTGTGGGTTTAACAATCTAAAACAGGCAAGATGAGTCCATTTTGTCTGCTTGGTTAGAGCAAAGGATTTAGCTTGCTTGCATCTAGTAATCATGAGATTGAAAAAATTGCCCAAAATACATGCTTTATGTTGTAGGTAAGATCAAACCATGAGAGACTAGTGGCACTTTCTAATGATTCTGGCAAAGAAAAAATGAAGGATAGTCCATTGAAACTTAAGTCCACAGCAGAATGGAAACAGAGAGGTATAGCTGTATGTAGGTCATAGAGCACAGTATGTTCACCCACTGCCATATAAGACATCAACTTGCCCATTACTGTAACAATAAATTGTAGATGAACTAAATGGAGTTAGGAAAATGGAAGCCAAAGGCTTAGATCTCTGTTATCTTGACAGAATTGAATCAATAATTTGCATATATGTTTAAGATCTATCAGTGTTATGTTATAGCAATAATTATTATAATTGCCTTTAGTTTTTATGCAATGGAAACATTGCTAGCAAAAATAAGTGACATGTTTGTGAACAATAAGAGTATAGAGAATGTCTCAACATTTAAGGAATGTATGATTTATAGCAAATATATCATGGTGGTACTGACTGCAGTAAGAACAAAAATAACAGACGTGTCTTTCGAATAATTTGGTCTTATATATTTTACCTATTCAAAGATAGACAACTAAGTGAAGTTTTTATGTCAGAGTTATACATTAACCCTTTACACCCTAACATCAGTATTCATACTCTCCATACTGTTTTCTGTACATTTACTAAGGTGCTGACAAGGAGAATTTGTCTAACAATCAAGAGCTTCTTCACTTGCTGATCATTTCCTTTATTCTCATGACAATAATGTGATTCAGTGGTGATGTTGTAAGGAGAAGTCAGATGCTAGTCACTCCTAGGAGTTAAAGGGTTAATTTTAGTTAGATAATTTAAATTTCGAGTTGTGTGTCTAACAGGTAGTCATTAAGTACACATACATACGTCCTCACATAAAGTTTATTTTTCTTAATCAGACAGCAAACTCTGGGACATTATCGCTGAGATTGTAAAGCTGTGTATGTACCCAGCTCCTCTCAACCCATTTGCCATTGATTTCAAGTATTTTGAAGGTCTGCCATTGGTTCAAAGAGTCATTGCAACTGGTGCCATGGCTCATTTCTTGCAGAAGGTTGTTGCATCTGGTGACCATGCATACAATGCCAGAGGTGAGGAATGGAGAAGATCCATCATATGTGTTTCTTGATAGTTACATAAGTTTCAAAAGTCTAGGACTGACTCAATAGAGATTACCAGAGTTGCTAATAAAGGACAAAAGCAGCTATCAAAGTTGTATAATAAGCTGAATCCTACACACATCTTGAGTGGTTCTTGTAGTCTGTTGGAGGACAGAGGCATGGACAACATCACCATTCTTTTTTTTGTTAACATGTAAGACAAAAAGATTCCACGTTACTGTGGGTCTGTACAGTCATAGTTCAGAGAAGAAGCCAAAATATGGTAAGAACATAAGTGAAACAAAAGGTGCACTTTTTTGTTTGTACCATATTTTGATGTTATCTGTGATCTATTATAATTGTACAAACACACAGCACCATAGAATCTATTTGTTAAGTGAATCACCTAGGGGATTACAATATAATTCTGAAGTGCTGATCTGCCAAGCCCTTGTGGTGTATACACCATGCTCAAATGAAGGAAGTAAGGATCATTTATCCATTATTTGCCCACATTTAACCACTGACTATTCCACCCACTTAACATTGAAAGTCTGACAATTATAAAATCAGTCGAGTACTTCCCATGTCATCAGACATCTACCATATTCAAATCTGTGTTTATTTACATATGGTTTATAAATAATAATGTCAGTGGTATTGCTTATAGCTGTCACTTAAAATAAATAACCAATTTTTTACCACTTAACTTCTCTTTCTTATACAGTCTTTGATGACTTAGGAGAAATCACAAGACGTCATTTTAAGGACTTGCAGACTGTTGTGCGGCAGAGAAGATTGCAAGAAATTGAACAAGCTTCACCACAGAATCCAGTACAATATAATACACAGCCCCAAGATACCCAGTATTACAACACTCGGCAGCAAAAACAGCAGACAAACTATTACCAAACAGGACCAGTGCAGCAGTCACTTCAAGCATCAGGCTACTCTGGCCAGTATCAATCTGGGAAAATGTATTAGTCTGCCTCAATTTCATTAAGACACAGACATAAGGGCAGCCATGTGGTCTTTTTGTAATGATTTTCATGAGGAAGAAAATGCACCTGTAAATTGTAAGATGATAATTGGTAACATTTTTCTAGGTTGGATACACTGTAAACTCAACAGGTATTATAAATTAGCACATAATTTATGTTTTTCTATTGTGAAAATACTACTTCCATATAGCACTTGCAGGGATGTGTTTAATTTAACTCTGACTGTAAGATTATTTTATTCCTCAATTAGAAGATAAACATGAGATTTGTATTGGTAGATACTGTAGTTTTAAGTCATTTGTAAAAGCCAACAGAAGTGAAGGCCAAGCCTTCCTTTTGGTTTTGTTAGATTCTTGGTGTATTATTCTTTGGGAAAAGTAAACATTTTCAATAATTCTTACATAGTACATCTATACATTGGTGGCAAATATTTTTTTGACTCACCATTTACTGTATGAATTATACTGGCAAGTTGTTAGGAAGTGTGGTCACCAATCAGAACATGTAGGATCTGTAACAGAATGCTAAAAAGCTTTCAAGTTACAGTTGAACCTGGACTACCTAGACTTATGGGGACTGGGTTAAATGGTCTGGATAACTGAGAGTCTGGATGATTGGAAATATGAATTTTCATGAGCCAAAAATAAAACTGAATTTGTATTGAACAAAAATTGCTTGACATACCTGTTGTGTCATTTGTTGATTTGTGATTCCTGTGTGTTCTATAGCGAGGTATTAACTGAAAGTACTCACTACACTTAAATAGAAGGAGTGAGTACTTTCCATTAATACCTCTCTAAATTACACACAGGAGTCACAAATCAACAGAATGACACAACATGTTTGTCAAGCAACTTTTATTCCAATACAGGTAAAGATATGGCATAATCTAAATCCCCATATATTCTCTTACAAATGTATCAAGCTTGGGTTGCCTGTGCTCCCTCAATCTCAAAAGGAATTATCCTTGTTGTCTGCCATAAATTTTTCCTTTAGTAAATTCTGAGACTTAAGAATCAAATGCTAATTCCCTTTTTCATATTTTTCTTCAATCTCATCAACAGTCTGCTTGATCATGATCATCATAATAATCATTGCTTGGTGTGCCAGTAGGTGCATAAGGCCATCACATTGTCCACCCAACCCCCCTTGTTGCCTGTTGCCACCTTGGCCACATCTCAGCTCTTCCACCCTGCCTTGCCTCTCTCTCTTGCGAAAGTCCCTCTCCAAGTGGTCTTTGGTCTCTCTCTCACCTTTCAACCTTCTGCTATCCACCCCAATGCTGTAAAACAGTTGTTCACACCCTCTCTCCTGAGTATGTGTCCTAACCAGTTCCACCTTCTTCGCATCTCACAGCTAATGCCATAAAACAGTTGTTCACACCCTCTCTCCTGAGTATGTGTCCTGACCAGCTCCACCTTCTTCTTTGCATCTCACAGCTAATTTCATTGATTTCTGCCATTACTCTCTTGTTTTTCATTCTTTGCTGCCATCTAATCCTCAGTATCTGTCTTAGGCACTGGCATTGGAAACTGTTCAGTTTTCTTTCATTGGCCTTTGTGATCTTCCTTGCTTCACAACCATATATCAGGACCGGTAGGACTAAAGTCTTGAACAGGTGTACCTTGGTTCTCCTTCTTATTCCTCTGACTGCCCACACCTGCTTGATATTGTGTTGATATTGTAGAGAGAAATTACTCAATCCCACATTAATCACTTCCAGGAGTGATAGGGTCATTACCATAGTTTCTTGGTTATAAGGCGCACCGTTTTTTCGAGAAAATTTTGTCTTTGGTTGGAGAGTTAGTACTGAAATTGGGGTGCTTCTTATAGCCAAGTATTTTTGCAAAACAAAATCTTAAGATCACAATTTTAGCAGAACTTACTGTTAAAAAGGCAAGAAAAGGAAACCAATTGTTGAAAGGAAAAGGAGAAAAAACAGAGCTTTTTGGTCTAAGGTGTAGCGAAGATTGTGTCAAATTCAATCCTCTATTCCTAGGAATTAAAAAGGAATACTGCTTTTAGAGCACTGATCAGCTTCTATATTCACCCCTGGAAGTGACCAATGAGTAATTTCTCTTAACAATATCAGCTCCTGAGAAGCTTAATAAAGTATTAATGGTTTTCAAGAGCGCCAGTACCGAAGCGTTGTGGAGAACATATTTCTATGTTCGCTATCGAACGAACTGCTCCTTGTTTTTATGCGATTTCATGAAGATGTTTTCTTGCCTTTCTTCGGTCTTGTTCTTTTACGTTTCGGTTTCACTTCCTCTTCTTCAGTTGGTGGATCCGGTGGAACAAGTCCTTGAGAAAAGTCGTAATAGACAATGGTGGAATCAGCCTCATAGAAAGCCATTGTTACTTTGGAGCTCACGCGACTACGACATGCATCTGCCCCTTCCTCAGTTTCTTCTTCGCACAGATTAACTTCCTGAATAATATCATGAATTTCCTCTGTTGTTAATGTTGTATCTATCGTAAGCGGAACTACAACATCAAACTGGGATTTCTTGGTCCGCTTTCCAGTTATGTACACTAACTTCAAAGACTCGCAAGGATGAATGCAAACCTTAAACCAGTGCTTGCTTTCACATAAGTCCAGGTACACACCGATAGCAGCTCTTGCTAGCGGCATCTTTTCGTTATAAAATCCATACGATTGTATTTCTTTGAATTTTGGATGCGCTTCCAACCAATTTTCCCTCGTAACTTTGTGCTGAACCGTGCTTGTGGACGCCATTAAGACAATTTCTGCCAGGCGTATAAGGCTAACCGCGTAGAACTAGGTACGAGTGATCCCATGTTCCAAGATGGCGGACCGTCGAGAGTCAGGTGTGATATCTTTTAGTACTTTTTGTGACAATAGAACTTTTCTTAAATGTTGGTTGTTGATTATCAAACAGGGAGAATCAAAGACATATCTAGCAGAAAAATTTTAGATAATGAAACCCGGAAAAGACGCCAGAAAAGACAGCTTGAGGCCTTAGAGAAAGACAACGTTCAAGATGATCCTCACGCTCACCTGACGATAGTCCCTGCCAAAATGAAAGTTCCAGCTTTTAACGACACCATGGAAGGTAATTCTTTGAAGCAAGATCTTCACATATGTGGAAAATTGTTTGACATGTGGCCTTTATGGTTCATCCTATAGATAAAAGGAAGAAGAGGAAATCCAAAACAGGAGAGTTGTTTAAACAGGTGTGTAGAAATTTGAGGTTGTGGTAATGTTTTCGTAGGTAGTGGAGCTAACTTTCCCACTCATTGAGCTCTTAAGCAGGGACTTAAATGAAATGTTTCAAATAGGGAGGGGAGAGAGAGATGAGGCGAAGCCTTAAGTGGGCCGGTATCCTTTTCTGCAGGAACAGCAGTGCTCCTAGTTACTTCATACTGAGGAAACAATGATAAGTTCAGAAGTTACACCGCATTTAAATTAGCACCTGAGCTCTCAAATTGATTTGCTGATGAAGAGTGAGATTTTGAACCGCATAATCTCCAATTGTGACGCCCTGAGCATCACCTTTCTTGGATATGGCAGATATGAGGGCATGCTTCCCAGGTGGAAAACTGTGAAAAATTGAAATAGAAAATTATTTTGAGTTATGGATACATGGAAAATAATCGACAATTGTGTGTGATAGTTGCTGTTTTTGTTGTTTGTTCCCCCAGAGATTTCGAAGAACATTTGCCATGCTTTTGGAGGAGGCAGTGAGTTTTTTTGGAACAATTTTTATTCTGATTGAGAGCTAGAATAGGCTTAAGAAAATGGATTAGCATCATAAATGTAATTACTATAATTTTATTCTTCTTGTAGACAGCATGTACACATAACTTCCATTTCTTCCATTTCCCTCTAGTTTGTAAATTTTCTGTTAATCCTTTACACCCTAACATCAGTATGCATATGCTCCATACTGTTCTCTATGCATTTTCAAAGGTGCTAACTAGGAGAGTTTGTTCGACAATTGAGAGTTTATTTAGTCTGTGATCATTTCCTTTATTCCTTGAGACCAAAATGTTGGATTAAGGGGTGACATTGTGAGGAGAAATTAGATGCTTGTCACTCTTTAAGGTCAAAGGGTTAAGATGTTTGTTGTTATGTCATTGTTGTTAATTTTTCAGTGTTTGCTGGCTTGTTTGTTTGAATTTTTTGGTAGCAACAAGAAGCAGAAGCTGGTGAACCCTCATATACCTCAGCCAAGGTACCTCCCTCAAAATTCCCAGAGAGACACTTCTGTGCTGTGTGTGGATATCCTTTTTTAAAATTGTTGCTCATGTTTTAGTACCCTTTTTTTGAATAACTGTATTTCCATGAATAAGGGCCTGAGTGCTTATTTAAAATTTTTGTCAAAAGGAGAGCTTATTGGAAGAAGGGTGTTATATAGTGCAAGGCACTTGTTTTTCTCTTGGGCTGATTCTACTGTAGTTGAAGCTTAAATAGTCATAAATAAAGTGGCAATAGAAGCAGGTTTTCTCATATCCCTACTATTTTAAGAAAATGAGGAAGGAGGGGGGGAACCTTATTTTAGAGGGGCAATTGTTTGATATAATGGCTGAGGGGGTGGGTGCTTATTCAGGTGAGGGTGCTTATTAGGGCATAGGCACCTATTCAAGGAAATATGGTATTCTTACCTTCAGCATTATCCTTCTATGAAACTGTACAGAAACTATCCTTACACTGTAACCAACTCTCTGATGGTCCTTTTCAAGTTATGCTACCCAACGTATGGGTGCAAAGAAGACTAAAACAGTCAGTAACTTTAAGCACTTTGGAAAGGGATGAAAAAAATGAGAGAAGGTTAATACCCTGGACTTTCAAGCTATGCACAATAAAAAGATAGTGAGGTTTATTTAGTTAGGCTTGGTATTTTTTTTTCAAAGAAGCCTATGAAATGTGCTTCCTTAGAACAATTTTTTTCCATTGTTCTGACAACAAGATCAGCTGTTTGGGTTCTTACCATCTTTAGGGGGGTGCAGAGGAAAATAAAACTTCCCATTAAATGAAAGATGAATCCTTGACTTTCCTTCACATTTCCCTCAAATTACACTTGTGTGTCCTGTGGATCAAGATACTGTTGCGTGAAGTGTCTGGGAACACACCAGGACACAAGATGCCTAAAGTGGACAGTCTAGCCAGCTGCTCCTATTAATATTTGCCTCTATGAAAGTTTCCCAACAATTCACGGTCAAAAACAAAATCTTCAAGAACAGTAGAAGACCTCTCATTCAACAAGTGACCATGGTCGTGATGAATTGTTTTAGGAATGCGTCAAGCTTACAATTGCACACCCCGTAAACAATGTGCAAGAGTGATGTAGAAAATGTTCCAGCACTTTGTTTAGGTCAAAGGTGTTTTTAAAGGATCATGGGTACAAAGACTCACCTTCCTCCTATGTAACTCAGACAGATTATATAATATGACTGCGATACCAGTTCCCTTCGAAAAGATGCCTTGAAATCTGTGCTGTTCTTACTCACATCTTTCTAGCATGATTTTACATTTGCAGATGTAAGGAGAAAGAAATTAAAGGAACTCAACTTACTATATAGTTTATGTGCTGTATTCTGCTGTTTTTGTCTGACTATCAAAGCTTGTTAGCCTTCCCTTAACCCTATAACTCCCAGATCAAATTTGAAATTCTCCTTACTATCAACCATGCAATTCATATAATGTTAGTTCTGAGAATTTAGTATTGGATCAACTAATTATCTCCAAATTGATATTTTTCTCCATTCTCATCACTCATCCGTTTGATATTGTATTAATATTGTAAGGAGAAATTCTGTCTTGGTCACTCCCGGAAGTTAACGGGTTAAGAAGTTCTGGTCAAAGCACTGTAACTATAACAATGGTAAAAGGTTGCAACAACAGATCTTTACCACAGGTAGTGAAACATAGAGGCCCAAACTAAACCAGAAGTACCCCCACAAAATTAGTTTTTGACGTAGCCATGATGAACTAAGTTTCAGTTTGAATTTGTCATGTGTTTTGTTTTCCGAGTCCTTCAAGAATTTTTGCTCTGAGCAGTGTATGTTAAATGCATCACGTGAGCGAATATCCCTCAGTTAAAACTACGTTATATCCGTAGATATTCCCTGAATAATATTCATCAATTATTCAACCCCACATTTAGTGTGACAAGGGTCTACCTGTGAAATTGTCTTCATGCAGGAAGATTGTTTGCCACTATCACAGATAAATTAAAGACGAAGGACTAGAGGGGACCATCAAATTCGTTCACAAAGTCGCTCTGAAAAGTCAACGTCATTTTCGGCGGTATGCTGGTCGTAAAATTACGGTTCCATGCACTGGAAGGAATACATATGCATCTGAAGTATGATAAACAAAATAGCCTCTAATTGGCTTGGAAATAAGTTCGTGTTTTATCCGTCCCTCGAAATTCACATGCAGTTTTCCTCGAGCTTCGCTTCATGTCGTCTTTGGAGAGATGTCCGCACGAGCAAAACATATCTTATTAATGTGCAACCTTCTACAGATTTGCTTGCGTCAGGATTAGGCTCCAAAAAAAGCCAAGCAATTGAAGGACGATTTGTGCCTACACTCATTGCGTTCAGCGGATATCTATTAGGGATCTCGTAGTTGCAGGGGACAGAGGACTTCAGAACCGGCTGTAAACACAGCCAGCACGGCATCTGAAAATAGAGCAAAGAGGGCAGTGCAAGCTACTTCAGCTTCTCCCGGTTCTCAGGATCGTTTTAAATCTCTATGAAGTGTAGTTTACGTAATTTACGTTTCCACCTGAACGTGTCGACAAACGGTCAAGAGACAGCATCAGCGAATATCTTCCAACAGATCTAAGGAACGGTGGTCGGTGTGTGTGGTTTGACCACAGGACTACGAGCACCGAATGAAATGGTAAGTATAAGAGCAAAAAAAAGCATCGCGAATGTCTAAGGAAAACTCCTATTGTGTGAAAAAAGAGGTAAATGTAAATACGAAATGTGAAAATTCGGGGCGTAATGTTTTGAGACAGGATTATCATACTGTGGCGGAAGTATCAAATTTACCCCTGGCCGACTGGTTCCGACCACCTCTTATGTCTTACTGAACATTTTCCTTAGTGTGCGAGCTTAATTACAGTAATATTTTATAGATCAGTGGCAGTGTACTACGAGACTGGGTTTTCTTCGAATAATAATTTGATTAATTGGCGACCACCAAACATAGTTCGAACTTCAAACAAACCCCTGAGACACTTTTCTTCATATTGCTAGGTAATGTATCTTTGTGCCATTATTTTGGATATTATACAATTAACAAAGGATTTCACGTGAACATAGTAACGTTGCGAGATAAACGTTGAAAGATTGAGCTTTCTGTTGTTCTTCAGACTTAATCCATAGTTCAAATGTGTCATGAAATTTGATGATCACATTTCAAGGCAGTCTAATGCGAAATTTATAAATAAACACCGAACAGAACTTTGATCGCCTTCATCCAAAAAAATTATTCGCAAATGCAATGAGGAATTTGATCTTTTCCTTTCAATTTCTTGGGTTTCTTTGAAAACTTCATTAAAAGATGAACTCCAAGTTAAAGTTGAAAAAATATAATTAGAGACAGTTAACCACTTTCTCGGAAAAGCTCATTCGGCATCATTTCCGTGAATGAATGACGAACGTTTCGCGATGATCCAGAAAAACAAAACGAATTGTTCTTGTTAAGACGAGTGCTTTTCTAAGATAAATTTTTGAAAAAACTAGAACAGGATGTGTGATGACAGTGGCGTTAGTCTAGCAGCGGTTCTCCTTTTAGATAGGAGATTATTTCGTGACGCAGTAACTGCATTGATACATGTATCAACTGAGTTTATAAAGTGAATTGGCAACCATGATGATGAATTCAGCCGTCGATTTCGACAGATTTCTGTTCTCTCTGGTAGTTACTGATCGCCACTGGAGTGCTTTCTACGGTGGCTGCATGATCAAGTTTATTCGAGAGCGACAGACTCTTTGACATTCTGGGCAGACGTAATCAACACCGTAAAAAAATTATAAAGCTGAAGTTTCGAATGTAAGCGAATCATTCGCCCTGAAGAATGTTTAATACTAACTGCAGATAATCATACCAATCAGTGTGAAAACGCGTTGATCTTTATTCTGATGCGTTTTCCAGGAGTTTTCTACGTTTTCAGAGGACAAAAAGGACATCAAAAGAAAACAAGAGGAGCTGTACAAGTATTACGAGAGTTCGCAAGATTGTTTAAACTCTACGGATGAACAGGTTCGTGCCCTTTTGGAACAGGACATCGCAGATCTCAAGGACAAAATCGTTTCCCACAAACGGAATCTTAAGAAGGAAGAATACATCGTGTTCGTTACAGGTTTGTGATAGACAACATATCAAATTGTCAACGGTATTTAAATTCCCTTCAGTTTATATTACCTCTGTTGTTTATTTTATTTTCCAATTTTTCTTGCTCATTTACCAGAAGATTATTAACCGGGAGATTATATATATCTTGGATTATATATAGTTTGTTTCAATTTTAAATTATCACTTATCGACTTATGGACTGAAATTTTCTGCTAGTTCAACTGTAGATATATCTACTTGCACATATTTGCAACAAATTTAATTTGAAGCAACAAGCAAGCAATCATATATTAAAATACTAGCAAAGGAGAGGTGAAGGATTAATATCACCTGGTTCCCTACCCCTCCCCTGACCTAACGTTAACCCTGACTTGTTATCAGTGGACTGTTGTTGGGTTAGGGAAGGGGTAGGTGCGCTATCAGTTGACTGTTATTGGGTTGGGGGAGGGGTAGGTGCGCTGTTACTTAGATACTGACATTGATCGTATTTATTCACTAATCGTGCTATATTTTGCTTTAAATCGCATATTTTTCCCAGCCAACGAGGAAGCTTTACAACGACTAATCGCTTGTTTAAAGAAACCAATCAAATTGCAGGAAAATGAAAAACAACTTTTGCAATTTTCTACAAGCCAACTGACTTATGGATCAACACAGCATTTGTATAGACTAAAAAATGCTGTATTTTGCGATTTCAAAATGGATGTAATAAAGTGGTTATTGAACGTCGTGTCGTGCAATTTTGGTCTGAAATGAAACTTGTTATTTCGAGTCAATTCAAACCCGTTTAATTTTGAAATTATGCATATGATTTCGGACCAAATTGCACTCCAAAGTTCAATTATACCATTATTAACAGCAAAAGAAATTAAAGGGAGGTTAGAAATGTCTTACACCCAAACAGTAAGGGAAATTAATCTACTTATATTTTCGTAGGTGAGAGATGTTTGGAAAAAAGCAACCTACTGAATCTGATCATCGACGAACAGCTTTTTCCTTGTTTCGTTGTCAGCACCTCGTCCACCGTCTTTGAACTAAAATATGGAACTGAACCCAAGCTTGTTGCGCACGAACATTCTGACACAAAAGTTTCCACAGAAATTCTCTTCCAGAGTGAGTCACTTGGAACTTTGCAGCGAGGTTGTCTGCAACAGCTCCTATCCACTATTTTCAAAGGTATTGGTGGGGAGAATTCGACTGAGGATCCACGCTACGAAAAGATCGAACTATTTTTGCCTCACAAACTTCTGAAGGTAGGTGATGAAGGAACGGAAATTGTGTTCCGTGTCTGAAGTACATTGACCAGTCACATATATAGTGCTCAATCGAAAGATTTAAATAAATTTGCTGTCGCTCATGGCATGCCTGTGAAATAACTAGCCAGCCGCATACAAGCTACAGTTTTTGAGTTGAATCGTTTGATTAGGATAACCACACGCTATGCATAAATTAACCTATCGTATGTCCTCCTTTGAGGGGAGGAGTGCATATTAGAAGAAGGGGACTTGATCGAGGAAGGAAGGGGGGGTTTTGAATTAGGGCAGAAAAACGACAAAAATAAAAGTACAGATGACGCACATAAAGGAACTCTGCAAACAAATGGAGATAGAAATAATTGGAACGGCTAAGAAACTATTATCATGTGCTGATTCGCTGCAATTAAAGCTTGAAGAATTATAATTAAAAGTTGCGATAGATACGGGTTTTCCTCGTATCCCTACTATTTACAAATTGAGGAAGGACGGGGGACGCTTATTTGAGATGGGCGCTGGTTTGACACTATGGCCTAAGGGATAGACGCTTATTCGAGGAAATACGGGTAGGCGTAAGTAGTAGGCGTTTGATGGTGGCTTTGGGAGCTCGAGTATTGATCTCTGAACCTCTCTACGATCGGCCTTGCCTTGAAGAAGGGAAAAACTGCAAAACCAGATCACCGATGTATCCATTCATCACTCTTTCCATGTATTCCTCCATCCTTTCAGCCAACCTTTTTTTCCATTTATGTAGTCTGCAAAAAGTGACCAGGAGGCTTCAAATGCGTAGAGATACATCATCGACGTCGTTGTTTATTTAATTCCCTGTCTACTTCCCTTTTACAAGGCAAAATCTTTGGGATTAAAATCGATTGACTAGATTTTGTTTATGTACTCATTGTTATATTATCTCTTTCAGGAAGGGATTGTTATAGTTGACATCCCAGGGACTTATGAATCCCCCATCATAAATGAAAAAGCAAAGGCGTACCTTTTGGAGGCCTCCGCATTCATCTGCTCCATCAATGGTGTAGATGGCGAGGGAATACATCGAGACGAGGTAATTGTTATGAATTGTTAGCAATTAAGGCCTTTATCATCAAAAAGACTTAAAAAACACACAAACACAAAAAAAGTAAAAACTCACATGTTGTGGGACTTTCCCATAACGTCCGCCTTAAGGGAAGGGGGAATTATTTTTTTTCGTCAAAAGTAGCTGATCTACGGAAGCAGTGGTGGTGAAAAGCTTGGAACATTTTTATCTTCACCGTGCGCTTAACTTCTCCTCAGTCGGTGATTTAATGGTTGTTGTCGAGAAGACATTTTCGACAGTTGCACTTTAGTGGCCGCTATTGTCCAGAAGAGGGGTTGTTGTCAAGAGTTTAAAATAAGATTAATAGAATAGACCATCCTCGGGACAACATGTATAAAAGGGGCACAACTCATGTTTCTTTTAACTGTTTGTGATCAGGTAGAAAAATACATCGAACACGCCAAACAGGTCAGTGCATTTCTGTACCAACAACTGAAATCTTCGTCAAATTGCCCTCTTTTGGTTTTCACCAAGCGGGATCAAGTACTGCAACAAGAGGCTTATAGGATTAAGAGTTGCATTATAAACCATCTCACAGAGCGTTGGCCCAGTGAGGACCCAGAGTCACAAATCATTTTCCTTTCACCAAGCAATGAGAGCAACGCATGGGAAGCTCCTGATGATGCTAAATGCGATTTACTGATGAATCGTATTTCATCCACGGTTTTAAAAAGCATTGAAACAAACTTAGAGAAGCAATGGAGGTAAGTTGTCTCAGACTGATAAAAGCTGAAATTGAAGATTGGCTTAAGGCTTTTCTGAGTGTCCATTAGGGGTTCAAACCAAGCAAACTTTGCGAGGGTTCCGCCCTTCCCCGATACTAATCACATTGTAGAATTGGCAGTCGAAGAAAACACAGGAAAATGTATGCTCGGAAGGGTTTTGAACCTGTGTTTCCTGCGCTATCAACTGAGCAACGAAGCCACATGTTTGGGAGGGACCAATTTTAAGGAGTTTCTCTGGGTCGTTCTCAGTTGAGGAATTTGATTGCGGTTGATATCTCGAACGAAATGGTCCCCTCGGATGAACTGCAGTTGAAGAAATTTCAGAGAATAATTTCGAATTGGTTATTTGTTAATTGACCCACAGGTCAAAAGGTGATTCACACAATTAGTTTGTAGTAACCGGCTTTGCTGAATTTCTGCTGTTCGCGCTAACTCGTGATGTACTATTTTGCAGGTGGCTTTACCACCTTCTTTCACGTATGGCCTATCGCACCAAAGTAATTCGACGCGATTGTTCAGAGGTGATGAGGTTTGTGGCTGAAAATCAGCAGGGCGCGGTAGAAAAAGAGCTGACCACGACAATCAAAGCCTCGGCTGCCCGGGAATTGTTCAAATTCCTCAACTCCCCAGAACTTCAACAATATTTTACTTCGTGGTCATTAGACAATGTTCCAGACGTCGGGGGTGATTGGAGTGTGACAGAGGAGAATATTAAAAAAGCATTAGTGAAACGACTTCAGGAGAAGATCGAAGAGTGGGAGAAACAAACCAATGTTTTCTCAGAATCTCGCACTTTACTGACACAGGACTTGTTCCGGAATTTCGAACGTGTTGAGCGACAGAATCAAAATGTTCAGAGCCCCCCCAAAGCGGACAGTGTAGCCAGCTCATCGTCATCATCAAGCGGTCCACAGACTTCAAGAAATTTAAGCTTGACAGAAACAGTTATTATCGGAGTCACAAGTCCCATCTGGGTTCCTGTCGGTTTCGTTGCTTTTTTGTTCAGTGCTCCGGTAATTGGAACCATAGCCGCCAAAGAAAGGTTTGGAAATCGGAGTAAAACAAAAGAGTACAAGAAAGACAAGTGCAAGTTCATGGCGGAGGCCTCTCAAGAATATCTCACAAAGATGGCTGACGAACAACAAGTTATGTCCCTCGTCGAGGAAGAGTTAAAAACTGAAAAACTCTTGATACAGCAGAAACGTTTACTGCAAGATGTTAGAGATTTATACATAAAAATTTCAGATTTAAGAGGAAAGATGGCCGACTTTGGCATCAAAGAAGTAGGTACCATGGACATCAGTTGCGAGGACTTAGAATGGAAAGACGACCGAGGATCACCTCTCGGAAGTGGCTCTTTTGCTTCCGTTCATCGAGGAACCTTAAAGCTTCCTGAGAAAGAGAAGCCCGTGGACGTAGCACTGAAAGTATGGAAAAAGGCACTGACTAGTGGCAGTGCAATAAACTTCCTTTCTGAAACAGACACCCTAAGGTTAGTTTCTATTAGTATGTTGTATGATAGAATCCTTGTTATTTTGTTAATATGTAGTTTTACAGTTCTTTCTTTTTGTTGTTCATTGTCATGTTTGGTTCACCTTTACAATCTGATAGCCTTGACTAAGCACGCACTTAATACTCACTTAAGTCGCTGGCGAACTCACCCGAGATGTTAGCGAAAGGGACGGCGGAGCTTATTTTAATTCGACTGATGAGGTTTGAATACGAGTGCCGGGGACGCTAGTTTGTAGAGGATCTTGGGCCGATTTCCTCCACAAAATTTTTAAATACACTCCTCCTACGTACGTCATACTAAAAGCAAAATAAACGACTTCTGCTCACTCAAGTTGTCAGCCAATCCACCTGAATTGCGGGCGAACTTACCTGCGTTGTAAACAAAAGTTGTAAACCAACCAACTCAGGGTGCTCGCGAAATCACCGAAAGTTGTTAATGAAGTAACCTGAGACGCCACCGAGCTAACCTAGGTAGCTAACCAAGGCAGACTCACTTATCCTAATTTGTTGGCGACTGAACCAACTTAACTTGTTAGCGAACCAAACTTAGTTTTCAGCAATCTCGGCTAGTTGTTACCAAACCAAAATAAGTTATAGGCGAACAAATCTGAGGTATTGGCGAACTCATCTGTAAGTTGTTGATGAGCCCAACTAATTCGCTACTGTACAAACCTGAGTTCTCCTAACTTGAGTTGTTAGCCTGCAAACCTAAGTTGAGTTTTTAGCGTACCATGTGAGCGAACTCAGTTAAGACTTGAGCGAACCAACTTGATACGTTAACAAACTAGCATGAGACTTCAGTGAACCAAGTAACTGTGAGTCGGTTCCCTAAATTATGGTTGGTTAATTCCTTGCAGTCTGTTAGGTCGATTCCCATGATGCTTTTTAACGCCAGACTATGGTTCTCTATCGTCTACAGGAAGTTGGCTTTTTGAAGTCTTATATCTTATCGGCCTCACATTGGTTAGCTTACGTCATTGGTTAGATTTTTAACTTCTTCGGTTAGTTCCTTAACGTTTTATGACCAATCGCCTAATCTTAAATTGGTAGGGTAATGCCTCAGATTGGTTCGCTTACCTCCCATGTCTGGGATTGCAGACATCGTTTAAATGACTCAGTAAATTAGCGTTTACTTGCAAAAGGAGCTGGAGAAACTGAATGTCATGTTATGAATACCAATTTGACAAGTCTCTGAGTTCTTCCTGAAGTGAACGTCGGACACTAGAAGGTGTGCATGGAAAGAAAATACGAAGAATTTCTATGCAACACCTCGACGATACTAGGACACGAACTTTGATCGCCAGTTTTAGTTCGTTATGAGTGTGAGAACTTTCTCAGACTAATTTGCGTAAGGTGTTTTGACGGGTGTCATGTGTAGAGGTGATGAACTGTCAAAAGAGCGGGGACGACCAGCAAACAATTTTTTCGGAGCTCAATTTCTTATTGTGCCTTTTTTAGGAAGCTGAATCATCCCTTCATTGTGAAGATGTATGGCGCAACACTCCTGAAGGAGAAGGGTGAATCGAGACCAATCCTTGTCATGGAACTCTGCAAGGAGAACTTGATGAAGCACATTTTCCGAAATCAGGACAATGTACCTGGTCTTTCTACAACAACTTCTGCTGCAAAAAACGTGATCGGATGGGCAAAAGACATTGCCAATGCTTTGGAATTCATACATAATAAGGGCATTATTCACAGAGATCTCAAACTGGAAAACACATTGGTAGGTAGGAGATAATCAGATGTGTCCACCGAGATAATCAGATGCGTTCACCGATGCAGCAGCACAGTTTCTTTAGACATTTACCCCCTTTATAGAAGAAGTTACTCTATCATAATTGCTGCAACCACTAACTCTTGCCTCAGCCTTTTAACTCTTTACGTTGACCAATTTAGGTTATAAACTCAGTTGACAACACTAAATTACCCTGTTAACTTCTTTCATGGTTTGGTAGGTGAACCTTTTTTGTATATAAATATCTATCAAGTTTTCTAGATAATTAGCAAGCTCTTAACAGTTTTCACAGTTGGATATGACCATTGTAACACGCAGACACTACAGCGTTAATATTTAAGAGTAAAGAAAGAGTAGTAAAGTAGGTTACTAATTTGATAATCATTGTTTGCTTTACATTTTAGTTATCGTATGATGATGTTGTCAAAGTAGCCGATGTCGGCCTATCTAAAGAAGAAGACATGATCACAGGTACTCAAATGGGAACTCCAAACTACATGGCTCCAGAGGTGGCGTCCTTCAGACGCTACGACCGCAAAGCGGATATATATAGCTTTGGTGTAATGCTATGGGAGATGTGGTATGGTAAGAGAGCCTTTCATGGCATTGCTCCCGAGGATCTCCAGGAACAAGTGGCTCAAGGTGTAAGACCTGAGCATGTTCAAGACAGTAGGGAGCCTCCAAATGAGTGGCGAGATCTGATGCAGCGTTGCTGGAATGGGGCACCAGATCAACGACCAATTTCTACAGCATGTCACAAGGAGTTAACCAGACTATACGAAGAGACCACCCTACCTCTCTAATATGCCGATCGAACCGGAATTTCTTTTTTGATAGGAAATGTGGTCTTTAAAAAACACCCTACCCCTAAAAACCTACCTACTAAAAAATTGTAAAAATGTAGTTTTACTCGGTCATTTTTGAGAGGAAGCATATCACAAAAAAAAACTTGTATTTGAAGACCTTTATCCCAATCCGTTTTATAAATTGATATTGTATAGGTTTTTAACTAAAGAAATGTCTACTTGCATATGTCATTCGTTAAATTTGAGCAAGAAATGACGCATTGTGCTTTACAAGCATGAAACGTCTTTGACGATCCACGAGGTACAAGGTTCCAACAAGAGAATATAGACTGTTTATATTCCGCTGGTTTTAATCAGTAAAAAAAAAGGACATTACGAATGAATTAAGTAAACAAAAAACAAGACAGCAACGATAAAGAGAGAGGACGACCAAAGTTTGAGCCCTATAAGAGTTTGGGCTTGAAATATCGATTTGCCTAACCTCAGTTTTTGAGGACCTGCGATTTCTGGAATATATCGCTCCTCTTTGAGAAACATTATCAAAAATACTAGCACTGATTATACTCAACAAAACGTCATTTCCTGTAACTCTCTCGATGTACCTGTACCTATACTTGAATAATTCTTCTCGAAATTTACTTACTGCGTGACTAGTCACGATGACTGTTAGACACTGCCGTCAGTGGCAGGGATCCGTGACAATGCATTACCGTAACCAGACCCTCTGTGTGAATTGGACTGTGATAAATGAAACGAAACTGTTAAAGGTTTAGGTTTTTCCTTTTTTCGCAATTCTCAAAGCTTCTTTAAGCTTGAAACTGATGAAATTTTGATCATAAGTGTTCAAGTTGTTGATTTGCAACATGAGTGCATTACCAGACATCGACAAGATCGACGACATCTTGGAGATGGCAAGCACAATGGCGACACTAAAAATTCCGTCCAAAGGGCTGAAAACGTTGGACGAAATGAAAGCAAAAGTGAAAGAGACACTCCAGTCGTCAGAGAAGAAGTCAAGTTGGACGGCAAAGGAGGTGAGAACCCTACAGTATCTTTATAAATATGAACAACCAGCAAACTCAATTTCATGATAAACGACATTTTCAGTACAATGGCGGAAGTATCTAGATGTGACCCTTAATAAATGGTAGACGCAGACCATATCATGAGATTCAGTAACAAATTGTTTAACATCTCTGTCAACTCTAACTTAGCCATCGTTTGCGATTTAATCCCATGCATGGCAATTTATTCAATGATGGCATCTCAGAAATGAATAGTACAAGAAGAAACCATGGGCGGAAATCGTAGCATTCACCCGCCAAATGTTTCTCTAAGTTCAAACTTAACAGTACGTAGAGCAGTCTAAAAGGCGGCTTATTACTTATTGATACTTCCATAAACGATTTCTTACAACTGGGTGTTAGCAAAATGATTGAAAATAAGAAATTGTAAAGTTTTGCTTCAACAGTCAGTGGTTATCATGCATACTAATGTTCGTAATTTAGCAAGCTTGATTGAGCAACGATCGAGTCTTGAGGGTTCAAGTTGATAAGACGGCTCTTAGAACATCGAGGATTGATAAATTTTGGTAAAATCTGCTTCAATTTTGCTTTTTCCTTGTGCTTAGTGGTTGTAGTTCGAAAACATTTTAATCATTTGGGAAAATGTTGACGATTGTATCAGGTTTACATTTCTTTATTTTCTTAGAAATGCTTGCGTAATTTCTGTGAAATAATTGACCACGAACTTAAAGCCTGGAGTGACCTGATGCTTTTCTACGGTAAAAGGAAGCTACAGATGTTTTCTATCATTCGTAATTGTCAGCGGAGAGTTGGAGTCCTTTCCTGCTATGGCTAAACATCAAAATTTATTTTTGTTCAAATAATACATGCATATTTACATAAGTAATCATGGGTAACGTACCGCAAACAATAGCCTATCGATGGTTGCATTGCGGCAGTTTTTGAGCTTAAACCAGCCTAATGAATCTATTCCCTAAATTAAGCTGCGCTCAGAACAGCGATGTGTGTCTAGAAGTGATGTTATTAGTAACAAGGATTTCCAAAATGACCGTAAAACGGTTAAATTAACCAATTAGGCCGAAAAGTAATATTAATTAATTTACACAGGCGAATGTTGATGCACAGCATTTGTTTCATTTTGTGCCATTTATCAGGCCTTTTCAGTGTTGACGGAGGCAAAGAAAGAAGACGAGAGAAAACGAGCAACCTTGCTCAATTTCTACGAACGCACGGATGTTTGCTTGCAAAGTATGGATGGAAAAGTTCATGCCCTTTTGGAACAGAACATCGGAAACCTCAAGGAAAAAATCGCTTCCCACAAACAAAATCTGCTGAGAAAAGAGTACATTGTTCTTGTTGCAGGTTTGTTATATATAAACAATTAGACTACCATTGCTTTGAAATTTTAGTTTCGGCAAATTCCTCACCCAATAGACTTAAATTCAAGACTGACAAAGAAAAGAAGGCTTCATTCAGCTATTATACTAATCCAACCTCAGCTAATTAGAAAGCTAGTGATCGAGCCATAAAGTAAATTAAAAGTATATTTCTTTGAGGGAATTACACTCAGTATATTTCATCCTCCCTTAATTGTGCTTTCGTGTAATATACTCCCTTAAGTTATATTAACCCTTTACACCCTAAGATCAGTTTGCATATTCTCCATACTGTTCTCTATACATTTCCTAAGGTACTGACAGGGAGACTTTGTTTAACAATCTTGAGCTCCTTTACTTGATGATCATTTCCTTAATTTCCATGACCTGAATATGTGAATCAGAGGTGATCTTGTAAGGAGAAATTAGATGTTTGTCACTCTTAGGGGTTAAAGGGTTAACAATGGGAACTTTATTGCTAATATCTTCTAATCAAACTTGATAGTCACACGAACACTTTTTCAATTCTACGGAAACCCTGAATCTCACAACATTTAACTTTTATTGATGGACTAAAGATTACTCATTTATTTATTCAAAAATTTTCAATTATCCTATTTGCTACTTGGTTCTTGTATGTCATAAGGGGCTCCACTGACCTGTCCTTTCACCTCACAACTTTTCCCAAACATCCTACTCTTAGTACACAGGCCCCCCATTCAAACCAGGTTGCAGCTGAACTTGGCCAGCCTGGTTGATAATTAAATACAACACACTTATGAAAAAATGAGTGGACAAAGTGGGAGTCTGCTGGTCCAGACCAACTAAGACTATTTTTGATAGTTCCTTTAAAGGAAGTCTGTCTTTTGAACGTGGCACATAATATGGCCAACCTCGAGCTGCTATCTGGGTGAAAGCTATATAATTGTGGACAGCAAGAGGAATAGTTTTTTATGAAAACAAATTAGAAGAAGAAAGGAAATTTTGTTTGGGATTTCTGGTGGAAACGACCGGGGAAGTAGATTCTCTTGTTCGACGTAACTGAAGTAGAATCGACCCATTCTTACCAATGTTTTTTATTTCTTCCCTCCCTATTTTCACCTGTTTATACTTACCAGGCGAAACAAGTTCAGGAAAGAGCACTTTGTTAAATCTTATCCTTGGAGAGCAGCTTCTTCCTTACTCCGTTCTGAGTACCACATCCACCATCTGTGAACTAAGATATGGAGATACACCAAAGCTGGTGGCGCACTTTAAAAACAAAGAATTAGGGGATATCACAAAGACTGTCGTCTTAGACGAGCCATCTGAAGCCTCCGAGCAGAGTTACCTTCAACAGATTTCCGAATTCGTCCACCTAAAGACTAACAGAGAAAAGGGCTCAGATTACGAAAAGATTGAGTTGTTTTGGCCACACAATCTGTTGAAGGTTAGACATGAGCAAGCTCAGTAATTATTCGGGGTCTTAGAACTGACCTTTAGAAACATAATATTGATGTCAGCAAGCTTAAGAATGTTCGTGCATGAATATATTTTACGATATAAAACTGTCTTTTATATTCCTTTATGATTGAAATTGATATTAGGGATGTTAGAGAAATTTAAAGTCTCCAAATTTCTAACTTTTCCCAAATCATTTACCATTCTGCATAGTGCTTGCACACGTTGTTATTTGGAATTTTACTTGGTTTTTGTTGCTGTTTTGTCACAAGAACTGATTGTTGACATCTCAATTGGTTGTTGTCATCTCAAATGAATAGTTGCACACATCTCTTTTGATGTATCCTTATTACGGTCACTAATAATTGAGTAACAGCAGTATTGACTGAAAGTCACGTCCGACTAAATTCTGATGATTAATTCGGTTAAGGATGTCAAAATGTCACTTAAAAGGAACAGATATAGAGGACATTAGATTGAGAGTTGAGAGTAATCCGGACTTAATCTCGCTCTGTGATTGGTCCAGAAAACTCATGCCAATTCATCAATCATGCACATTCAAAACCAAAACCAACCGCAACTGACTCGCGCTTTCCCCTGCAAAGAGTTGTTCGCTTGTTTTTTCTTTGGGCTAATTCTCTAATTGGTTGTTGTGATTACTTTTGAGTTTGGTCTTATGACAACAAATCGAAACGCACTCTAGAGAGGGATACTCAAGGACAATATTTTCCTTCAATGACTGTGAATATATGAAAATCATGTATGTGATCTGCGGATTAAGAAATGAAAATGAAAGGGATTTTCGCAGTAATGAACACTTCTTAAGCAGTGGTGAAAATATGGCCTCAAGAAAATTCAGGCCTGTACGGGATTTCAAGATTGAAGATCGAAGCAAAGATCGCTTTCATATTCAATATTTTGCTTGTTACATCTTTTAGGAAAATATCGTAATAGTCGACAGTCCAGGAATTGGCGAATCTACCATCATGGATGACATAGTTAAGGAGTACCTTCCAGAGGCTTTCGCATTTATTTACGTCATCAAAAGTGACAACGCCGGTGGAATACAGCGAGATAGGGTAAGCCGGACACTTTAAAATGCGAAATGCATTGACTTCTTATTGCAAAAATAATTAAAGGAAAAATGTGCTGCAAAACTCGTATCATTTTTTGAATCCTTTATTTTAAAGATGTGTGAGAGTAACTTAATTGTTCGAAAATTTTCGTCAAATGTTCCAGAAGAAGGAACTTAGCGAACATGAGTTGCTCCTGCATAGT